GACGGTGAGGGGCGATCGGCGGTGAGGGAAGAGCAGCGGTGACGTAAGGAAGTAGAGAAGACAGCGGCGGACCGGCGGTGAGAGAGAAAGAGAGAGAGCAGCAGCAGTAAGACCTTTGTGTTGTGCTATTGTGATTGATTCAACCAAACCCTAAATAAACACAAACATATTATATATATAAACAGGGGCAAACTCATAAATTACATCGGGGCCAATCGGGGCGGGGATCGGGGTCGGAGTTTAAAAATGTATCACCATCCTCGGCCAAAAAATCATCAGGGAATGATTTTTGAATACTATCCCCGGCCCGAAGGGGGTTTTTTTCGGGGAAAACCCGTTCAATTCAGGGTCGAGCGTTCGGGTCCGTATCGGGTCAAGTTCAGATTGCTATCTCTACTCCCAGACAACCAATGTATCAACAGGCTTGCAAAGTTGTTTGCTTTTTATGGCACCAAGACCAAATTCCTTGCCAATAATAATGCATGGATAGTAGAAACAAATGCATTATATGCAAATTGAAATTTGTACTCAAATTAGCCGTTGATTTTGCATGGTGCAACTCCAATAAGGTTACTGTTGGTTTTGCAGAGGATTTCACAAAGTTACTATTGCTGTGGTTTATAAAATAAGACTGATTTGTTTTTAAATTTCACAATATCATTACAATTTATCTTGTCTTTGTCATTGTTAACTTTAATCTTTACTTTTTCTTTCATTTGTCAGTTGTTTCGTTTACAATATTCTCATTGTGTAATCTTCAGTATTTCTTGAATTTTTCACTTCTTTCTTTAATTTTTACTTATTTCGTTTACAATATTTTTCACTGTGTGTTGAATGTTTTATCCTATTGAATTTTTTTAACTCGTTTATGGTAAAAATTTTACCTTCAAATTATGGAAAATTTTAAAATTTTAAGGAATCACAAACTTCAGAGCAGAACATTGATGTTACTTTTATTTCGGAAACTTCTCGTGTTTCTCGTGGTAAATCGTTCACCATTATAGAAGATGAAACTTTATGTAGATCTTGATTGACCGTTTCTCAAGATCCCATTGCTGGTAATAGTTAGACCATGGCAATATTTTAGGAACGAGTACTCATTTATTTTAATTCATAATTGAATGGTCAATCAAATCGAAACCATATTTTATTGCTACTGCTAGTATAAACTACTACTACTGAGTTGGTTGATGATATTTCATAATCAAAATCAAGATGTGAGTCTTTCTCATCTCCAACAATCATATTGTGCAATATAATACAAGTCTTCATTATGTTACCAAGCATTTTGGGATCCCAAAAATGTATTCATAAAATTACAAATCAGGACTAGAGCACTTCGAATGCCCGCTCTACATCATTCCTTGCTGACTCTTGCATCATTACAAAATATTGCTTCTTTGCTCAATGGGAAGAAAAGATTGTCTAAACCAATGTTGCCCACGAAGGGTATATACCATCAGCAAGGTAATAACATATATTATAAGTGTGTCTATTAATAGTGTAATAGACAGGCGAAGCTTTACCTTGGGTAAGATCAGAAAATAAGGATGACTAATCTAAGACATTCAAGTCATTGTGTGATCTAGGCATTCCAAAAAATGCATGGCAAATCCACAAGTCATAAGAAGTTACTGCTTCAAGAATGATGGTTGGCTTTTTCTGATGGCCTATATATTGACCTTGCCATGCTGTTGGACAATTTTTCCACTCCCAATGCATGCAATCTAAACTCCCAACATACCTAGAAACCCACAAACCTCCCCAATAGCAAGTAATCTAGCAATGTCAATTGTTGTTAGAGATCTAAGATATTTAGGTCCAAAGATTTCGATTATTGAATTGCAAAAGTGTTTCAAACTTTCAATTGCCATTCTTTCTTCAATTTGCACATAATTATCAACTACATTTGCTGCCACTCCATATGTGAGCATTCTAATTGCTGAAGTCATCTTTTGAAGTAGAGGCAATTTGAGGAATGAAAAATATTTAATGGAGGGAAAAAGAAATGACAAATGAATTGAGGGAAACAGAAATTGAAGGAAATAGGTTTTTCGTGTTTACTCTTACCAGCTAGTTGTCCCCTTGGACGCGCTGCGTTTTGCTGACAACCAAAAATTCTGTGATAATCGGGTACGTAACCCGTCTCTTTCTCCTCTAATTGTGTTTATCTTGCTCGTAGTGGGAGTGTCGAGAATTAATCTTAGGTCTCGCTGACCGTTTGGGTTCATCATTCTCAAAAACCTTCATCTAATTCCCTTTCTTGGTCCTATTTTTTCCCAGGGTTGAGTTTTACTTGTCTCGGAGGGCATGAAAGTTGATGTGGGGTGTTCGGGACTCACTGGTGTAATTTGGGGACGAAAAAACAAAATTACACTTGCAGGGCACATACGGGAATGGGGCCGCACTTGTGGGAAGTGAGGCCGCACATGCAGTGGAAGGGAAAATTCTGGGCCAGCTACTACATTATATGCACATACGGAGGGAGGTACAGCAAAGAGTGTCGCAAGTGCGGGGGTGAGTGCCGCACGTGTAGGAAGTGTGTGCCATACATGCGGGAAAGCGTTGAGTCTGAATTTTTTTCTCTTTTCTTCTCCTTGGGCTAAGTGCATCTCACTTTTACACATCTCTCTTCCTCTCTAATACACTTTTCTCTTTCTTCTCTCTACATTTCCTACACCAAACTAGATTAAATCTTTGATTTCTTCAAATCCATTGAAGTTTTGATCTTAGTCCCTTCATCAAAGTTGGAGAACTTCTCGAGGGCTACGTTTTGTGCGGTGGAGATCAAGTTTCAACACCATTGATTTTGGGGGTTTCATCTTACAGTAAGGATTTTCTTAGAGTTATATATAGAATTATATATATATATTTGCAAAATTATGTTGATTTTGGAACTCCCTTGTTTATATTGAAATTTGATTTTGTTTGCTCAAGAATGTTGATGGTTTTAAAAGTGGGTTTGCCCATCATTTCTTTTTTTTTAAAAAAAATTTATTGAGAGGTTTGAACAACATTGATTTAGGAAAGATGTTCTTGGAGAGACTCTTTCAAAAAAAGGAGGGAGTGTCTAGTTTTGGTGAAAAACCTTAAAAAATTGGGTTTTTTTTTTTTGTTGAAAGATGTTGAGAATCTATGAATTTTTATTCGTTAAAGTGCCAAAATGAATGAATGATTGGAAATTTCTTATTGTCGTATATAAATGAGAAATTCCATGGAAAATGAGAAATAATTGGTTTTGGAATTTATTGTTAAAAATGTGGACATAGTCATGAAATGATTGAATTGTTGAGAATGCATGAGGTATGGGAATATTGCTACCCCTCGATGGATTTAAATAAATATATTATTATCTCATGAAATTGCATTGGAAAGCGAAATGGAAATTATGATTACAATAGAAATATTGTGTAGAAGAATTGAAAATGGAAGAACGTTACATGGCATTGATAATTGTTGCATTGGCATATCCATTCATTTGGTTGTCACAAATATTGAATTGAGATTTGAAAATGTTTGTATTGAGAAAAAAAGGTTTGTGAAACAAGATTTCATTGAATTGTTTTGAGGCAAATACGTTGGTAAGTTCGGATATGGAGTGTAGATGAAATTGATTAAGTTGGCTTAAGTGTCCAAGGTGAAAGACTGAAAACACGCGCGGAGGGAGTACCACATGCCTTCTGGTTAGCTACTGGTAAAGTGGGGGTTTTGGTAGTGCTAGTTATGCCTACTTGCAGACACCAACCTAGGGATTACCTGAGTCGTATTTACCGCCCCTTGAACTTCATGTAAAATTATTGGATGGTTAAATTTTCAAGTTTTCATCGAGCATGATGGTTTTCAAAAAGATGATAACGTGACTTTCTTTTAAAAAGCATGGCATAACATAAGCATTTTATCTTGTGAGAATTGTATAAAATGTATATACTTTGTTAAGAATTTTCTATTGGGCTTTATGCTCACCCTATGGGATTTTGTGCAGAAAAAGATATGGTGGTTCCGTCAAACTAAGGGCGTGGATGTGTATGTTGAGAGCACAAGGCTGTTGTTTTGTTGTGATTATATTTTGAAAGCCAATGACTGTATTTGTATGGGTTCGAGCAACCATTTTGTGTAACCGAGGTTAAGCCTTGGACTTTATAGCTATTGAGGGCATTTGTTTATTTTTGACTAGATGTTTTACGTGTTATAAATTTATGTACTAGAGTCATTGAATGTATATTCGCATGTAGAACTATTTTGTAAATCTCTTATGATTAAATATACAAGTGTTGGATATAGAACTATTTTGTAAATCTCTTATGATTAAATATACAAGTGTTGGATATTTATTTTTGGTCTATCGTACAGAGCGATGATTGGTGTACTTTTATTGTGTATTTTGTGGGGCGTTACAAATTCACTGTTGAAGAGCTGAATATTAGATAGAGGAATTTCTTAAGTTTTTACTCAGATTTGATGAAATATTTGATATATCATTGGAAATGCCCTAAATGTGAGAAAGGTAGTTATATGAGAATATGAAAGTGAATAAAATTTGAAAAAAAGGTCAATTGGGGAAATGAAATAAAATGTAAACATGAATGTGGTGGTAGTAGAAGTGAATGAAGATAGGTAAGTGAACATAAAGAAGTATATAAAATTATTTGTAAGGAAAGAAAAATGAGAGGCTAATCTAATATTTTTATACTTATTATAGACTTAAAGATGAATATCAATATTTTTGATCAAATATATACATGACAAATAATAATTTTAATATAGCCTCGAAAAGTTTAAAATTTAAAATGTAAGGTTATATTACAAATTACGGAAGGTTGCAATTGTTATAAAGTTTATTTATTTAATGAAAATGTAGGGTTGTATTTGAAAAAAACAAAAAACTAAATGCTAGATTTGTTAAAAAGTGAAATGATGGAGTTATTTTTATAAATATTCCAAAAACATTGTGTGTGTGTGTGCGCGCGCGCGCGCGTGCGTGTGTATTTAGAAGTCCATAGACTCCCTACCAAAACGGAAGGAAAGCAGAAAGAGAGAACGGGATGTATGATCGACGCCGATGATCCCTCCTCCCTCTTCAAAACCCTAATCTGTTTCGATCATCAATTTTTTTGAATTGAATAGTATAAGTTGTTAATCAACATCTCATTCTTTGATTAGCCCTAAATTAAATATAACCGCCATGACTGCAGAATCTTCATCCGATAACCTTTTAGCCCCTTCATCTGTAGTTTCTGTGGACACGACCATCAATCAGCAGCAGCAGCAGCGAACTGCATGGGCTCAAGTCGTTCGAGGCGAACACGAAGCAGCTGAGGAAGTTTCGTTTTCGGATTGTTCAAAGGAGACTCAGATGGGGAACTCTGATAGTAATCAGAGCAATGTCGATCATCCCAAGAAGCCAGCTTGGAACAAACCCTTGAATGGTGTAGTTGGGGTTGGTCCTGTGATGGGTGGTGATGTATCTTGGCCTGCTCTTTCAGAATCCACTAAGACTCCTTTCAAATCAGCCTCTGATTCTTCAAAACCCTCTGATTCTTCAAAACCCATATCTGATTCATCAGTCTCCACCTCTCAGGTTCAGTTTTTCTCTTCTTCTTCTTCTTCTTCTTCTTCTAATTTTGTATCTTTTTACCAGTACTGATTTTTAATTTTTTTAAAATTATTATTATTATTATTATTATTATCTATTTATTTTTATCTATGCATGTATGATACTGTGTTCATGTGTTTGTTTTAGGTACCTGTAATCTCACATTCACCTAAGAAACATGCTAATACTAACCCAAACCCTAATTTTACTCCAAACCATACAATGCCAGTTCGACAAAGATTTTCGAAACGTGGCGGGGGCACTGGGGGTGGATCGGTGCATAGTGGTTTTAATCGCCCCCCACCGCCGCCGCCACCACCGCTACCACTGCCACTGCCGCTGCCACCGCTGCCACCGCCATTTCCTCTATATGAAATGCCTTACAGTGCACTGGTAGCGGCAGTGCCTGATTCTTCTATTGGAGAACCTCCTTACAAGGGGAATAGTTGGGAGGGAAGACCAATTGGAGGTTTTGGGTCTCAATCCCATTCAGTGAATGATCACTCTTCACATAGGAATTCTTCTCGGAGGGGCAACTTTAATAGTCATGGGAGTAGGCGTGATCAAGACCGTGATTGGAATGCTTCTCGAAGTTCTAATGCTAGAGATGTTCACTTATCACCACATCAGATAGCTCCGCCCGGGGGTTTCATAAGATCACCATCACCGCCGCCGCCGCCGCCACCACCACCAGCAGGATATATGCCCTTCATTACATCCCCATCTGTGAGACACTTTGGGAACCATATGGGTTTTGGTAAGTTGATTATTCTTACATTCAGCTTCATGATGTGAGCTTGGAAATAACGTCTCAACTTGTTTCAGATATGACATCTTCATTTTGGTATGTCCCAAGCGGGGTGCCATTAATTTCTCATGCACCACCGCCTCTGCCACCTATGTTTTCTCCTGTTGCTAATTTACCTGCTTCATTACTCAATCAGATAAACTATTACTTCAGGTAATTTAACCATTTTTTGGGGGGGCAAAGTTTTGCACAGACAGCTTCTTTTTCTTTTCCCTTTCTCTTTGCTCTTATAATTTCTGTCTGCTTATTTCAGTGATGATAATTTGGTGAGAGACGACTTTTTGAGGTCCAATATGGACGATGAGGGTTGGGTTCCCATTACTCTTATTGCTGGTTTTCCTCGAGTAAGTTATTTGATGTTGGCTTATGAAATTTTCTGTTTTTATTGAAATCTGAATTTACATTTCGAAACTTATTTCCAAAAATATCTACTGTCAATTTAGATTTAAAGAGTTGATTATTTGCTTTTGTGGGCATCTATTTCTTTTATGATAATGCATTAATTACTCATTTGAATGAAATGACACGCTTGACTATTAGCAAACAGAAATTACAAGAAGACGAGAGTTAATAAAGAATATTTATTTCATTGAACTTTTTTGGGGTTTAGCACCTTTGATTAAATGAAACATAAAAATGAAAAGAGGGGTTCAAACCTTTTTCCTATATGCCATCCCTACAATGTCAAGAGCTCAAGCAATAGATATGTACTCCTTCTGAAGTTGCTGAAGAATCTTATTCACAGAATTATAGAGGGGTACTTTTTGCAAGCAGTAGAAGGTATTGTGTGGTTTTGGTATGATTCTTGTGTTTGCCTCTGTGCACGTCTCTACGCTTTGTGTGATGGTCTTATTTATAGAGGGCCATTTACAAGATAAGAACCCCTACTCCGTTATTTGAATTCAAATGAGGCCATGATAAAACTGTTTAAATTTAAATGAGATATAATCATACCCTTCATTCTCAATTCAAATTCAACCGATCCACCTAATTTTCTCAAATTTTTCCAATGGGCCATTTTTGTAGTATGCTTTGCATTGCCTTTATTGTTTCTTAAACCTTTCAAACTCTAGGTGACATTTATTTAGTTGGCTCCAACTTTGGCTCCATTAATTATTATTTAGTTGAAATTTATGTACCATTGTATCTAGTACTTTGTCTGCAGTTAGTAGCTATTAAGAATCTCCATGATGCTGGTCAATTCTAATTTTTCTTTACCCTTCCATAAAGGTTGATGTGATTTATAAAGGAGGTATTGATTTCCATCTTTTTTGTTGGGTGGACAGTGAGTTTTAGTGGTGAACATCTGCTCAAATCCAAATTTTGGCCTTTTTATTGACCAACTTCATTAGCTAAGAAAGCAAGGTTTTTTTTTTAAATTCCCCTTCTTTCTTTATTTTATTTGATATCCAACATACTATTTACGGTAAATATTCTGTGCAGTTCTCTACATATTTGAGTACATGCATATCTACTTTCTTCTTACCCAGAATTTGTATTGAAATTAAAAACTTCTTTTTTACCTTTCTCTTAGGTTTCAATTTTTTTTCCATGACTTTTTGAGATATGTACTATATTATACCTAAATCTATAGTTTTTATATTTAAAAGTGAGCTCCAACCTTGTGTCTCATTCTTAGTTCATACCATCGCATATTCCTGCATATGTACTTGTAGTTGTAACTTCAATTGCTTGCATTGCATAATTTTGTTTTTGGGTGTCAAGTGCTATAGATTATTTGAACCTTAGTTTTTATTTTTCTTTCTCTTATTGAATTCCTCATATATATATATATAACAATAACACCTGCAATTTGGCTCACATTTTTGTTAGGGTAAACTACCAATAGGTCATAATAGTTGGACTTAGTTCCCATTAAGTTCTATTGAAAGTTAGTTCTAATAAAATCATCGTTAAAAATAATTTTTTGTAACACTTTTTTGCTATGTCGCTAAAAATTGACAATTAATGACCTTTTTTTCTTTGTCACGATTATTATAAATTATCGCTAAAATTTACAATTGGCGACCTTTTTATGTGAAATTTTTTTCAAATTGTCGTTGACAGTTGAAAATTGGTGATATTTTTTTGTGATGATTTTTTTTAAACTATTGCTAAAACGTATAATTTAGTGACTTTTTTGTGACAAATATTCAAACTGTCGTTGAAAATTAACAATTAATGACTTTTTTTTTAATAATGTTTGATGAAAAGTGTCGTTAATTATTATAGGACTTATTAGACAATAAGACCACTTATTAGGACCTACACATAAATCTCTCTTTATGTTAATGTGATAATTTTATCTTGATTATTTGTGCCTTTTGTTCTAATGTGCTTTCATGATTTGACTTAAGTCTAAAATTGATCTTAATATATGTTGTGCGGACCAGCCCACTGCCGTAGAACGCACAAAAATATTGTCCTTTTTATACCACGGGGGCACACACAGTTTTGTTCTTCCTTCACTAGAAAAGGTCTCTTGGATGTTTGTGGGCATGACACACTTTATAATGTGGTCCAAGAGTCCCTAGCGAACCGATGTGGGATGGATTTTCACTCCCCACATTAGCCCCCCCGTGTGCGGGTCCACGTGGTGGAGCTAGGGTTCCCACAGACTGCACCATTTGTGCGGATCACCCCAGTGTCATAGCACGCACCAAGATATTGTCTGCTTTGTACCACAGGGGCACACACGGTTTTGTTCTCCCTTAACTAGAAAAAGCCTCTTGGAGGTTTGTGGGTATGACACACTTTATAAGGTGGATCAAGAGTCCCTAGTGAACCGATGCGGGACAGATTTCCACTTCCCACAGATGTTAAAAGTAGATTCTACCAAATGAGTGATGGCTGACTTGCTATGTTCAGTATTCATCTTCCGTTTTTGTCAGGGATAAATTACAACCACATTTGTTATGTAGTTCAGGGACACATGAAGTCCTGAATTTGTATTCATTTGCAGTTTTAATTTTTTTGAATTGCAACCTCTTAACTGGTGTTTGGTTCATTGGAATGGAAGTGGATTGGAATCTAATGGTCATTCATTAACCTCCTTACTTAATGACTATCCCTTTACAATGGTGAATGATGATTTCATTTTTCATAATTTTTTTAATGAACCAAATGTGATGATAGACATTCTAATGGAATGAGCATTCCATTCCATCTTATTCCAATAAACCAAACATTACATAGATTCAACCCCTTTTTCTTTTAACATCATGCAAAAATCAGGAGCAGAGGCCGGTTCAAAGAATTGCCTCTGTTGTGAACTTGTCATTGAGATAAATTTGCTTCTATTCATGTATGATGGAAATTCTATGTTCTTATGACTTAACAAACAAATTTTATTTTAGATAACTCTCCTATTGTGTATCAATTTGTTATTTGTTAAAATGCTTTAGTAGCTGCAGTGTATTTACGGGAATGAGGGAAACCTTATGGGATGAAGGTTGTTTGAACATCCTTTACTAGGAAAAACTCTTTTTCTCCTAAGTTCTCTAGCATGTTTGCTCTTGAACATAGGATTGTTTATAAACTTATCTGTTTTACCTCTCATAGATATTCTTTTAAAAAAAAAAAAAAACCAAAGATTTTGTTTACTGTTTAACCATATGCCCTGTTACTCTTGAACATACAAGGAGAGTAATATACTAGAGTCTTGCCAGAGAGGAATTTTATGCTTGGTGGTCCAGGTTCATTTTATGTTATGTAATGGCTGAGGAGAAAAGTCTCAAGGTTTTGGCAAGTTCACTTAAGTGAAGTTTAGCAATTTGTTTGCTTGCATTTTCTAGATTAAATTCTGAATGTTTAATGCAGTCATGACGATTGTTCAGATCGATTATCAACTTTAATGACTTACAAATGACAACTATATTCATTTAAAAAAAAAAAATTATGCTTGGAAGGTTTTGGCAAGTTCACTTAAGTGAAGTTTAGCAATTTGTTTGCTTGCATTTTCTAGATTAAATTCTGAATGTTTAATGCAGTCATGACGATTGTTCAGATCGATTATCAACTTTAATGACTTACAAATGACAACTATATTCATTTAAAAAAAAAAATTATGCTTGGTATAATGAAATTTCAGTTGTTTTTTCCAATATAGTTAAAATGCTAAATTAGCTTCCTTTTCTGTATGACAGTTTTGATGCATTTGCCTGTGTATTTGTAACCATTCTTTCAGGATGTAATGGCCTAAGGGGGGTGCTCTAGACTGTAACTTTCGATTTAGTGGCACCTTCATTTCCTTAGTTCAATACTTATTCAAGTTGCATAGTGGAGTAACTATTTTCCATTTTGCCTTAATCTTCAACCTTCAACTCTTTTCAACTGATTTGGGCTTCAATATAATTGCCAGGCTTGAATTATACCTCTCTTTTACGATATAAACATATGTCAAGACATAATCGCCTTACAGGGGCGAACCCTATACAATACAACACTCAAATTGATTTTCATTATGGTTTGGTTTGTAAACTGTTTTGTTTTTATTCTCAACCTCTATTTCATCTCTTCATCCTTCCTCTCTTTAGCCTATTTTCAGCTGGCAATACAAAATCTGTTTTGCAGCTGACAATTTTCTCCGTTTGGTTCTTAAATTCTATTCCTAAAGTGGTATTTTTTTTTTCTTTTTTTCTGACAAATTCAATTTAGTTGATTTTTTCCTTCCTTGGCTTTACGAATGACATTAGGGTATTTTTTTTTTTTTCTATTTTTCAGAACTTTTGAAAACGGAAAGTAAAATAAAATTAGCCTTCAAAAGACGAATAAAATTTAGGTTTAATTCATAGAGCTTGTGCTCTCTCTCTCTCTCTCTCTCATTTCTGTTTTCTCTACTCTTTCCTGTCTGATTTTTTTCCTTCTCTATTATTGTCATTTATCTATTTTCTCTTTCTACTTGTATCTTCTTGCTTGTACTAGATGTCCATGAGATTTTATGCTTGCCTAAAGCCTATAACTAACTTTTTTGCCGTGTAACAAAATTAGCCTCCAAAATAGGAATAAAATTCATATTTAATTCATAGAGTGCTGTTTATTACTCTCTTTTCAGTTTCTCCTCCTTCTCTTCTCTAATTCCCAATTTCTCTACTTAACTTCTTTGTTCTTCTATTCTTTTCACTTCATTTATTAGACTTTGTTAGGTTAGGGTGACAATTTTCCTAATTGGCACCTTAACTTGTTTTTTTATTCCTTACATTTTGATGGTTTTCAGAGAAAAAATGGTTTTAAAAATCAAAGCTTTTGAAGCCTGCTCAGTAGCCTGCTTAATAGGCCACTTGAGCATGTGAGGGTGTAGATTTGTAGAAATCCTGCAAACCCTGCTCTCTATGTGCTTGATTGAAAGGCTTGGTGGTGTCTGTAGAGGTCCTGAAAGGTCTGTTCACTATGCTCTCGATAGAGTGATTGAGCAGGGGTGTGCATTCGCTACAAGCTATATAGAGAATTCGAGCAGGAGTCTATCTGCAGAGATCTTGTGAGATTTCCTTGCTTCCTTCTTGAGTAGGTGCATAGAAATCGCAGCAATCCATTTTTATTTGAATTTCAACTCCCAAAACCTATATAAAGTGTGTTTTGTTCTTAAATTAGGTGAATACCTGAGTTGTGTAGCCTTCTGAGAGTCCTTGAGACCTTATTTTTTATTTCAAGGATTTTCTCCTGAATCCCAAAATTTTTCTTCAATTTAGAGAGAATGTTTCCATAAATATATAATCTAGATTGAAATTTCTGCACAAAAAACCCTCACTTCCTTCTCTTCATCTCATCAGCCCTTCGTTGTTGGCTGAAAAGCATGGACACACAACAATTCTAAAAAAATTAGGATACGGACACGGCGGCAATATTGTAAATTTATTTATATAAATATATATTATTTACTATGTGGATGAATATAAATTTAGGATATGTAGATGTGAGAGACATCAATCTATATATGGGTGTATTTTTATTTTTGAGCAATGCAAGGACCCCAAATAAATTACCAAATATTTACACAATACTCACATGGGTGTGGGTGCCATGTAGGTCTCATAGGTGTGACACCCATGTGAGTATTGTGTAAAATATTTGATAATTCATTTGGGGTCTCTAGCATTTTTGTTTGACTTTTTCAACTTTTTCCCTCTCTATTTCCATGTATTTGACTTTGACAGCAAATTAGCTTTTTAAAATTATATAAAAAAGTAACCAAGGATACTAGCTGAGAAGTAGAGAATTGTAGGTAGTGTTTGGTAGAGTTTTAAAATTATGATTTGAGAATAGAGTTGTATTTTGAGTTTGTGAGTTTGAGAATTATGATTTGAGTGTGGAAAATTTGTTTGGTTATGAGTTTTGAAAAGAGTTTTGAATTGTGTTTGAAATTTTTGATGGGGCATATGATGTTTGATTAAAAAACTTACAACTCATAACCAAACACATAACCCAAAATTCTATTCAAAACTCATAAAAAATCTAAAAAAAATTCTGAAAATATTTTTTATTTAAAATATAAAAATAATAGGTGCCAAAAAAAAAACACTGTTCTGGTCAACCGGCCGGACGTCCGGGGAGACATTCGGGAGGTGACTGGGTAGACGTGTCTTCAAAAGTGGGTGTGAAATTAATTTTTGAAAGCTATATTCAAACAGCACACTCAAATATGGTTGTGGAATCATGTTTAGAACTCCACACCAAACACAGCTGTAATTTTTCTACAAGATGACACATCATTACTCTATATTTTCCAAACGCTACAATTATGTGATTTGTATTAATGTTTTCGTTTTCTCTTTGCTTCAGCCGTAACTTAGTAAGAATGCTGCCTGAGATGTTTGTCATTGTTTTTTGATGTATGGTTCAATGTAGGATTTTTGTTATTTAGTGCCATGCCATGATCACTTGTTAGCATAGTCTGTATAGTTGTCAATTTCATACTGTACCGGCCGGTATGGTCTGAATTTTACCGTTTTGACATAAAAGCGAGACAAAACTACTACTGTTTCATTTCGTTATCTTATTTTTTCGGACTGTTTTGGTTATTCTGGCAACTTTCCTCTAATTTCAAACATTCTGTTGCTTTTTCAGCCAGTGTAGATGAATTCAATGCATTCTTTTGTGTAGTTTTTTTAACATGAAGCTATATGTACAGATTTTGACATAAATTCGATGGGTGTCATGGGTTAAATGTGTGATGTATGTTGTATATTTTATTTGAAAGTTGGTTTGGAGATTAGTGTGTGCAACCATAACACACTCAACAATTCATTATCTTTTTACAAATTCTTAATTGTTTAAATTACATCTAAATGTTTTTAAATTATAAATTAAAATGATAAATTAGACCCTAATATTTTAGGAAAAGACAGTCATATTATCTAAATTAATTGTTTGGAGTAAATATAAATATAATTAATATATATATATATATATAATGTCTATAGCGATAAATCTAAAATGGTATGCCGAAATGCACTGGTACCAATACTTACCATACCAATGACAAAAATGGTACACTATCCAGTATGGTATTATTAATAATGTTTCTTGTTAGGGAGGGAAGATATCCTATGCACTTAATGGTTGTTTGTTAGTATATCCTTGTCATATCACAACTGGATCCAATCTCATTTTTTTATTTCAGTATTAGTGATGTTCATCCCTAGATCAAGTTTGCTTTATGGCTATGATGTTGCAGATTCAACAATTGACGGTTAACATCAAGTTGATATTGGATTCCTTGAGAACTTCATCAGTTGTGGAAGTAAAGGTAACTTTTCAACTGATAGCACGCATTAATATGCTCTTATCTTAGTCTGCACTGAGTTATATATTGTGTTCAATTAAGCATTGTAATATATGTTGGCAACCAACAAGAAATGGTTGTGTCTGTTGTTGCATTGTTAGACTTATTTGCCATGAGGCACTGCTACCATTTTTAATGTCTTAATTACATTAAGACCCCCTAACCTGTTTATGAATATCATCTTACGCCTCTTATCTATGAACTCGTACATTTTGACCCCCTCAACTATAAAAGCATATCACTTTCATCCCCTCCTGCCCACCTCCAAAAGGGGGGAATTTGTACAGTTTTTTATAGTTAAGGGGGTCGAAATGTATAGGTTCGTGGATGAGAGGGTTAGTGATATTCATTAATAGTTGAGGGGTCTTGATGTTATTAAGCCCTATTTAATTAATGGCTCAAACCTACCAATTTAAGACATTTTTGTCCAGCTGGCCTTATGCTGCTTCATATGTTGCAGGACTACAAGGTAAGGAGGCGTTACAGTTGGAAGAAGTGGATACCCAAATATGGTTGGTTTGGCACCGACTCAGGTTCACAGTCCCTGGTTGGATCAACTTACAATACAATCACAACCTCTTTGCAGAAGGTCACATTGGATGAAGCAATTGCTAACAAAAGTAGTATTACGGGTAAGGAAGATTCTTCCACAGGGGCAGTTCCATGTAGAGGTTCATCTGAGGATTTGACTAACCACTCAAAATTGGCCAACGGAGAGTGTATAATTGAAGAAGCTTGCTCAAGCCAGATATGAAGATTTGTGCTCTAAATTTTTTTCGGTGAATTCAGTCAAGGCTGCTGCACTATTTTCTTAGATCATTCTTGGATTGGAAGGAGGGAGAGGGGACCAGTATGAAAGCTTTAGGAATATTGATTTGTTGGGTTTTCTTGTTGATGGAATTGAAATTTGGCAGTTAAGGAGGAAGTTAAATGGTAAGTACACAGAGAAAGAGGAGTGGAATATTATTGACTTTGGGTATGTGGTTATTGGGTTGTATAGTTCAAGTTGTGCGGCTGGATGATGCTTTTGTGTTCTGGTGATGCAGTCTGAGGTAATTGATTTGCTTTTAGTAGAACAAATTTTGTGGTGATTCCCCATCACTAAGTTGAGTCTCTGGTAGCTTTTGTTTTTGTTTTTGCATTTTTTTTTTTTCTGAGAGAGTTTGTCTATGATACGAGAAGCTTGAGAGATATTGCACAACTGCTCCGGTGGTATGAACTGGGTGGCTGATCTCTGCTTGGTTTCATGATATTATACTTTCGTAGGCCTTTTATGTTTATTTATACTTTTTAGGTACGTTTTCTTTTTTCTTTTTATCATTTATTTAATTTCATTTGCGGACCTTATACACATTTGCCATTTGGCATACATCTCTTGACATATTCTTCAAGACCTTTTTGAATTTTATTTTATTTTATTTTTTTTGGCATTAAAATTTGACCTCAATATAGGACAGTTATGACGCACACATGGGATGTTTAATGTAAAACTGAATTTATTTTATGAATTCTTTTTCCGTTGCAAGTTATGTTTTAGGCTTTAGCATTCTTGACTGATCTTCTAATTTGGTTTACTTGCCTCAGTATAATTGATAATTGGTTTCAAATATTTAATAAAAAATGTGGGAAGGTATATCTAAAGCTATGGCTTGTATTGATAATGTGTTAGGGTTTAGGCTGTGATTATAGTCTGATCCTCCCCCTCCCTGTTTTGATATTCTTATTAGCGACTTTTTGAGCATTCATATCAGAAAGGTCTCTAGGAACATAGAAACTCATCACAGAACTTTTTGAGTCCCATACTTTGCTTGATGGAGTTGTGTCCGATTTTGTGATTGGTTGCTATGCAAGTAGAACTGTCCATAATAATGTGTTCGGTGGTCATGGTTGAGGATTATTTGGGTTATAGCCCATTATTTGGGTTCTCCCTCAATCGCGTCTGCTGTTTTCTTTTCACTACTACTTTGTGCTTGTATGATTTTGTGATTACATTTGTGTGAGAACAAATGTTGCAGCTGAAGAGGAATAAATATTCCCACTTTCTTCGAATTGTTCACTACCCATTTCGAATAAGAAGCCTCCACTTGTGTAGTTGTGTAACTTTGCCCCTTCAAATCTCACCATTAATTTTGAATCTCAGCCGTTCCTCATATTACATATTCTCCTAGTAATTAGATAACTTCTTTAGGGAAGAATATGGCTAATGGTAACTAGATTCTTGGTCTAGTCAAAAACTGACTGAATTAAAATTTCGGTCAAACCTGAATGGTTGGTTTGATTCTATCATGCATATACATTAAGGGTAAATTACACTACATCCCTTAAAGTTCGAAAACAATACCCTTTTTTTTTTCTGCAAAAAAAAGAAAAGAAAAGAAAAATGGTTATTTTGTTTCCTTAAGGTTTTAATTCATATAACATATTGTTTCTTTTTCATCAGCTATTTGTTAGTTGTATTGATGAAAAGAATGGTATTTTTAGCTCTTATATATATATATATATATATATATATATTACATTTATATGTTTGTAGAATATATGCACTAGTTTTGGACAATGTAATTATGTCAAATTTGTGGGGTTTGTTGAAGTTCTCAAATTTTAGGGGTGGTAAGTGTAATTTATCCTTCTTACCTTCTTTGGCAGCCCTATGCAACCCAGACCTGGTTATATGTTTCAACATGGAAAAGCAACCACATTCAACTCTGCATATCAACTTCATCCTTTGGCCTTTTTTCCAAGAACCCCAACTAATATTTTATTTATGAAACCAACTTATTTTCTTATTCTTTCAAACCTAGTAATTGATGATGGTCCTTGTTGGCTTATGCTAAAAGTGAATTCCTTTGGATGCACTTATTTTTTAAGTTGGACATGTTAGGGTTTGGTGTGAATGTGTAGCAATAGGATGGTGCCAGTGATATGGCAGACTTAGCTTTCCAACTTAAATTTAATTTAGAGGTTGGGACTTGGCGTAGTGACAAGTGCTACATGTTTGTCACTACATGTTTTTCAGGTGATGTAATGATCAAGTAATTTTTTTTTCTTTCTCTTGAGCTAGTAATTTCATTTTGTTTTTCTAACTTTGTAACATTCAGTTTTTTTTTTTTTTTTTAATTAAAAAAAGAAAATTAGAGAAAGTAAAAGCTGCATATCATAAGGGTAGTATGACTCGAATTCACTCATCATGTTTCGTAAGGGAGTGCCATTCATCAATGCCTTGGTCATTCAATGTGTCTAAGATTTGAATTTACCTTTGTGTGGGAGTGCTATCTATCAATGCCCTGCACTTCAATTTATCCCATTCAATAGATAGATACTATTTACTCCAAAGTAGACTATAATTTTCTCTAGGCCTAAAAACATGGATCACCTATGGCATATGGTTGGTATCAACCAATCGAGTCCGTATATAAGGGCCAAAAAAAAAAAAAAAAAAAAGGTTTGATGACAAAAAGTTTCTAACTTTTCATTCACATAATAAGAGTGTAGTTCTAAATGATTTTCTTTTTATTTTTGGGTACAAAATTGTATTTCTAATTGTGGTTAAAGTATAAACCAAAAAAAATTAAAAAATTGTGGTTAAAGTACTTTCACATGTGGTATGACCTATTAAAAATGATCATCTTACCTTTTTTATTTATTTATTTTTATACTAATTAGGTAAGCACACGGACAACATAGTAGACCAAATTCATTTGCAGAGGATTTGACAATTATTTTTTTTCTTTATTCTTTTTATTTTTAGTGAATTTTTTCTTTCAAAAAATTAAAAACATAACCCTTTTGCGTATTACTAAATTAAATGGATTTGAAAAGTAAGAGCAACTATTTTATTTAATTTTATTTCTAAAAAAAGACTATTAAAGGTGTCCAAAAAAATAAAAAAGTTGAGTCTTTTAGCAATTTTTGGGTCTTTACTGTTTTTTTTTTTTAAATTAATTTTTTTTTTCAGATTAGACGAACCTCAAGTAAAAATTTTAATAAATAAAAAATAATTTATTAAAGGCCAATTTTTTTTTTTAAAAACGGAATTTTTAGATAACTTTGAATATTTTATGAGAAATTAACTTGTAAGCTTGATTTACAATACAAGACTCTGTCCACCGAGTGATTATTTGGTGGTTTTAGAATATTTTTTCTCACAATTTATCGCTTCACATTTGTCAAGTTATTCTCTGTAAATCCAACCAAAAAAATTGAGTCCTACTGATTTAACCAATAAATGATAAGTTTTCAATAGCAAAAAAAATTTCTCATGTCTACCATCCAAAATAGGAGAACGACGACAATATTCTCTTATTATTGGATGGATACATAATGTATATTACCCTTCTTAAATAAAAGCATAAAGAATAATTCTATACATATTAACAATTTTACTAAGAATACAAGAGATTTAAAATTTTATTAAAAATATAAGAGATCAAGTATGATTGGTTGTTTAAAAAAAAAAAAGTAATAATATTTGGACATATATATTTAGATAAATTACAAATAAACCTTTCAGCTTTGCTTAAAATATGAATTATTTTTTGTGATTCTAGAAATTACATCATGCCCCTTAAAGTTTCGAATTTCATAATAAATGGTTTATTTTATTAATAAATTATAAAGTCAATTAATAGTTTTTAATGATGTCATAAATTTATTTTAAATAATAATTTAGGTAATTTTATTATTGTACATGAAACCAATTAATAATTTTATTTTTTAGTTAATTTTGTTAAATAAAAAATTATGACAAGAAGATATTTATAATTTTCCAAAGTACATGAAAAATTTATATTTTAAACAAATCTCAAGAATGTATTTGTAATTTATCCTATATATTTTTAATAAGATTTTTATTAAGGCCTTGTTTGAAAAGTTGGCTATTTGATTTTTTAGATATTTTAGCCTGATTAAAATAATTGTGTTTGGAAAGTTGATTGATTTTTTTTCATAATTAATTTGATAATTATGAGAAAAGAAATAAAATAATTATGTATTAAATATTTTATTAATTATTTTAACTTATTTTATTTTTTAATTAATTATTTTAGGGTTCAACTTGTCTTCAATTGGAAATCAAGACTGGACCATCTAGTCTGGCCCGTGGATGTTCTTCGATAAATGTGTAGAACATGTCGAATATTATATTTCTGTAAAAAATCACCTTGATCCGATATCAATATCTATTTGATCGGATTAAATTTCTATCAACTGTTTATTTTTTTATCGTTTATTTTTTACATACAAAACTAATCTGGTTAAATAGCTATTGATATCCGATTAATGTGATTTTTTATAAAGATATAATACTTGACGATTTTTACACATTAATCGATTCAGATTACCAAAATGAGACCCAAAAATAGACTCACTGGCCGGAGTCCAATCTTAATCCCCAACCACAAACAAGCTGGACCGATTATTTTATTTCAACCATTTTCCTAAATACTTTCTAATAAGAATTTAATTTGTGTAATAGGCCCCACCTACGTTCACAGTACAGCACTCTGGCCGAATCAGCTTCCAGTAGAGTAGAAGGGAGAGGGACAGGGAAAGGGAAGGGAAGGGAAGGGAAGGGAAGGCCTTACCATACTAAAAGCCCAAAGTGGATAAAGTGTAGTGTAGTGTAGTGTAGTGTTGAGCAATGAATGAGCATCAGTTATTAACAAAGAAACCATGTAATGTAACCACTAATTCCATTCCATGGAGGAACTCTGACTCTGGAAAGGCATCGGTCTCTCTTCTCTCCTCCACCACCACTCCCACTCCACCGCCATCACCAACCGCCGCCGCCGCCTTTGTGTGCCTTGCGCCGCCTGCGGATGCTCCAGCCACCGTGTTGAGCTTGAGTTCGCGATCGGGCTCTGACTTCCATTACATTGAAAGCTCAGATCGAATTATTAGCTCACACCCACTATTCAAAAGTCAATCCAATGGTGGAAGTGGAAGTCCCTCTTTCGTGTCTTCAATTCCTTCATTTTGCAAGAAAAGGGCTTCACAGAATGATGATAATTCCGGGGATTGCCGGCACAAGCGCATGATCAAGAACAGAGAGTCAGCTGCCCGTTCCAGATCTCGAAAACAGGTCTCTCTCTCTCTCTCTCCCTCTTTCCGATGGTTCTGCTATTCATTTCTGTGTTACTTGCAAAACGGTTACTAGTCTTTTCTTTTTCCCTTTCCATTGTTTTTTTGAAGAATACGTTTACCAACACAACACACAAATCAATTATTGAACCGACACAAAACATATATGGCTGGATAAGGGTTTTTTTTTTTTTTTTTAATAATTTTTAAACCATGTACCCCCATTAACAAATTATTTAAAAATCTCATCTTATGTATTCTGTGTTCTGTGTATGTGTTGAAATTATCAAATGTTTTAAACTTCAGTTTTTTTTTTTTTTTTAAAATAAATATATATATATACCGGTTTGAATGAATGTTGTGCAGGCTTACACAAATGGGTTGGAGAATGAAGTTGATCGTTTAATGGAAGAAAATGCTGAGCTCAGAAGACAGCTAGAAAAGGTGAATCAACTGATCATTAATATATATACATTAAAATTTAAATATGATGTGTTGTGAGTCACCCCTTTAATCAATTTAGTTCACACTATTTAAATTTTGAGAAGGTGGATTCATTTGTCTCTTTAATTAAGGCTGATAAGAGTTTTTCTTAGCTATTACCAAACAAGACATCAAATAAATTGGTTGGTCGATCTGTTTTAATTTAAATAATTATTTTTTTTTGTGCATCAGCTCTGTTGCGCTGCTCCTGATCAGCATCCGAGAAAGAAGAGTCTCCAAAGAAATTTAACAGCCCCATTTTAAATCAGAATGTTTGGTCTTTAATTATCTATCGTTCTATCTTCTCTTTTCCTTCCATTTGAGTAGTTTACCATATTTGGTTTTAATTTTTTTATTATAAGTATTTTATAGATATATGATATAAATATACCTTTTGTTATATATACTCCATATGATATAGGTCTCCATCGAGAGTTTGTTTGTATAGAGAAAAACGAAGAAAGAATGGAGGTCAAGAAAGCAACTGGCATGACATTACATGACATGACAATGGTAATTTTGAAATGGGGTTTGTTTATGTATTATTATCTCAAATAATAATATATATAAAAAAAGAAAAACCTTTGTGACTGATTTATAGTTGTGAATAAATGTAACGAGTCGGTGATTTCGATGATCATTATAGTGTTAGTATTTGTTACTTTTCTTTATAAACCTACACAATAAAAATTGTGTATATATAGCACTTACTTTATTAAGAGTAGGAGAAAAAAATGAAGAATGCTATTTTTTAAATATGGTAAAATCCTATCTATACAAATTTATGTGATTTATATTGGTTGTGAAAATGACAAATGAAATTTATATGATAATTTCGATGAAAGGATCGAATTAAAATAGGACTTATATATGGATCATAGTGAAATTTAAATAAAATTATAGGAATTAAAAATGTAATTTATTCTCGATAAAAATTTAATTACATAGAATAATGGTGATGTTAAGTGGAGATCAACAATGTTGTAGTAAATTAACTATCTAAATTTAAAAATAATGTAAAATTACATCATTTTTTATGTGTTTTTTTTTTCTTTTTCTTTTTCTTTTTGAAAGCACGGTGTTGTAATATTATTTTACTTCAATTTTAAATTCAAGTTGTTAGATTATATATTTTGTTGATGTGTTTTGTTGTGGTAAAAAAAACTCAATAAAAACATTACACGAAAAGAAAATAATATATTTGCATAATTTTTATACAAAATTTATGACAAATAACAATGACATCTGTAAAATTACAAAGATAATAATAAGTATTTTAATTTATAATAAAAAAAATACTACAAAATATCAAATCATTTTTTTTGAAAAGTCTACGTAAATTTTTCACGAAAAACTATGATGGAGAATTTTATTTGTTACGTAAGTGATTTTTATAAGATATGACAACCTTGTCCTTTTCCATTCAAGATTTTTCTCTTCGTATTGAGGTTTGATGATGCAGTTCGTTTCAGGTGGAACGGGTCGGACTGATCCACGCTTCTCAAACTAGTGTCCGAATGACCATGCCCACAAGAGTTCAACGGGGAACGGGGAGTCCCCTAGCGAACCCTCCGACAAGCAAGTTAGAAAGAGAAGTGGAATGTGGAGATAGATTAGAGATAGAAAGTTTAACATTTTTCCTGTCTTCGACGTCTGCTTATATCTTTTGGTAACCATTTCGTTGTCCCTTCCGACCTGTCATCTTAGCCGAAAGTCTATGCTCTAACTTGCCTTGTTCATGGTGATGCCGTTCTGTCTCGACGGGGAGGGGTTATCGCAATAAATACTGTAAGGGGCTTCATTAATGGCTGATGTGCAATGCAATAACTTTGCAGGATCTTTGTCTGCTTATGTGGCTTGTCCTTCACCTGCCACGTGTCTAAGTGTCATTGGTTCTTGATGCCATGTTGAGCTCCAGCAACGTTGGGTTTCATTAGTTGAATTATGTATTGGGCCCTAACTGGTGGGCTTGGGTTGTTCATAGTGGGCTATAGTCTTTATTAGGGGTGTGCGCGGTGCGGTTCGAGCAGTTTGAGAGTAAATTTACAAACCGAATGGCAGGTTGGCGAATTAGCGGATTGACAAATTGCGGTTTGAACGGTTTTTGGCTGGTTGGCGGATTGAAGAATATTCTAACTAATTATCATATATTTGCATAATATATAACACTAATTTGTATAATATTTGTTAGATATATAACGCAAAGTAATTTTACATAATATGTTTCATATATATAACTACTAATTTGTAATAAATTTCATATCTTAAATCTCTCTCACACTCATCTTTACATTGATATTTCATTGGAAGTTAAAATATATATATGTATTAACTATAGCGGAGCGGGGCAGTTTGGTTGGCAGATTAGAAATTTTAAAGTTTAAACCGCGGTTAGCGGTTAGAGCCGTGCGGATAGATGCGGATCGGTGTGGTTTTAGCAAATTGGACGGTATTTTGCACAGCCCCAGCCTTTATGCGCTTACCCATGTCAGTAGTCCCCTATTCCCGAGTGCAGCTTTAGTCCAACGAAAGGAATAAAGAAGAAAACGATGGTTGTTAGAGATGGCGGGGCGAAGGGAGGTGGGCTGACGGCGACGGGTGGTTGAGCGGAGGGGCTAACCAGGAGGGGGACCGACTAGGAGGAGGGCCGACCGCGAAGGGCAACCGAGTGGAGGGACCGACCATGAGGAGGGCCGACCGTGAAGGGTGACCGACCATGAGGAGAGCCGACTGTGAAAGGTGACCGAGTGGAGGGAGAAGTGGCGGCGCGTGGGGCTCGAAGAGTGGCTGGGGCACGTGGTGAAGTGAAGTGGAATAAACAAGAAAGGGGAAAGGGGCAGTGGATTATGGTCGTACACGTGGCAGAATCTCATAATGGGGAAGGTTAGGCGTTGAGCAAGAAATGAAACGATAAGTCAATATAGGGTGTTGAAAATACAGTTTTGGCGGATTTTTGAAAATTTTCAAATTGGCGAAATTTAATTGTGACCCTTGGAATATAGGTAAGCCTTGGGCGTTTGGTATTATCCGTTTTACCTATCTCTTTGCAAAAAACGAAAACATCCCAAAAATGAACTCGTTCGTTGCCAATGATACACCCCTACAACACTTTGTGAACTTTCTTGTGCCCGCATCCGAAGCCATTCGCAGACACACAAGAGAGATAGCCCAAGAGGAAGCAATAACTGCAAGGGTTGATCCATTAGGTGACGACGATGCGGTGGATTTGGCAGAGCAGTATTGTGCGGAGCGTAGGGAATGAGGGGTAGTCGGTGAGACGGTGTGGGCTCGTCCAAGGACGATGATTGCAGTCCCGAAACCTATTAGCCAGGTGGAGCCGGACCATTGGCACACCAAGCCGGACAGATCTACGCTTACGGATAAGGAGTTTGAGGGAATAAGGAGGAAGTACTAGATTCCCTCGGAGATAGGGTTAAGATTGCCCACATCCAAGGAAAGGGCGTCGGATGCGCGACCGGGCGGGTTCAGCTTATACGAGGAGGCGTTGCGAGGGGGTTTAAGGCTACCTCTCCCCCAAGTGGTGGTAAATGTGTTGAACAAGTTAGAGGCGGTGCCAAGGCAGCTGATGCCGAACTCTTGGAAGATAGTGATGGCCTGCGCAAGTGCCTGGCTGCAGGCGACAGGGGGGGCGGCAATGACAGTGGAGGAGTTCTTCTCCTACTACAAGGCCTCCGGTCAGCAGGAGACTTGGGTCACTCTACAAGCGATGGCGAGGCGAGGACTGGTGGTGGGTCTTCTATCTTTGGTGAAGGGGTGAAGGCCGAGATGGTTCTTTGTGACGGCGAACGGTGGGGTAGGAATTCGCACGACGTGAAAGGTCCCCACCAAATCAGTCGAGCCCAAGTTGGGCGGGGCGGCCGAAGACCAAGTAAAGAGGGTGAGGGAATGGAGTGAGGAGAAGGGAGTAAGCTACGCAACGACTCCCCCTCAGTCTGATAGATGTTGAAGAGCTGGGTTGCCGGACACCGCTGGCACTAGGCTCCAATGAAATGGCTGAGAAAAGAGTCACTGAGGTGCTGGAAAGTGGAAACAGAGTCTGTTGGCAGTTGACTAAACCAGAGTCGGCCGACCCCTTGAGTGTTACGGGGAAAGCCCGACACATGATTTCATCGGGGAATGCATGGAGGGTCATGAGGGTTCTATAGGTCTCCAAGTGATCGACTGGGTCTGATGTACCGTCGAAAGGGTCGATCGTGGGCATTTTAAACTTGGGGGGTAGAGGTTTGTCCCTGATGGAGGCAACAAATGGGGAGTTGGCTGTGGTAGATGGTTTATGTTGTATATTCTGCATGACTCGTTGGAGCTGGAGCTTCATAGCTCGGAGTTCTGCATCCCAGAAAGGAATGTTGTCACCAACAGAAGGCAGCGGGGGTTGGACGCTACTGGCCTCTCCTTTGGGGGTTGCTGCCAGGACTGATGGATGCGGGGCTCGGGGTGGCTAGTTTACATTCGGGGGAGGGGCTCGCAAGCCTTCCAAGTTGGGTGGATGGGGCTGCTAGATAGTATGGCTCGGGACTCGTTTTTGGTTGGGGGGAATATCTGGAGGTGGTGGAGGAGGCATGGGAAGGTTTCTTTGGAGTAAAGTATTTATCAATGCTTGGTTTTGCTCGGTCAGGCGGTTAATGCTGTTAGTGAGCTCGGTAAAATACTGCAGTGGATTGTTTGGATTGGGAGGGTCGGCTTGGTGGTCGGGAACATTGGGGTAGGAAGCCATGGATCTAGTTGTAACCATCCACCTTCGCAGGTGGTAGGAAGGGGTTATTGGGAAAGGGCCTTCGGTGATAATGAGCACAACTGGCCCGCGGAGTAAGAGATTTCCCACAGACGGTGCCAACTGACGATGCAGTTCGTTCCAGATGGAACGGGTCGGACTGATCCACGCTTCTCAAACCCGTGTCCGAATGACCAAATCCACCAGAAGACCTGCACAAGAATTCAACGGGGAACGGGGAGTCCCTCAGCGAACCCTCCGACGAGCAAGTTAGAAAGAGAAGTGGAATGTGGAGATAGATTAGAGATAGAAAGCTTAACCTTCTTCCTGTTTTCGACGTTTGCTTATATTCTTTGATAATCATTTCGTTATCCCTTCCGACCTGCCAACTTGGCCGAAAGTCTATGCTCTAACTTGCCTTGTTCATGGTGAGACCGTTCTGTCTCGAATAAATGCTGTAAGGGGCTTCATTAATGGCTGATGTGCAGTACAATAACTTTGCAGGATCTTTATCTGCTTATGTGGCATGTCCTTCACCTGCCACGTGTTTAAGTGTCATTAGTTCTTGATGCCATATTGAACTCCAGCAACGTTGGGTTTCATTAGTTGAATTATGTATTGAACCTAACTGGTGGGTTTGAATTATTCATAATAAATTATAACCTTTATGAGTTTACCCATATCAAGGTTCAAGATATTGAGGTGTATCTAGCGGATATCTATACGTGAAAGAAAGGATAAAAAAAATAAAAATTAAAAAAAAGGCTTGCTTGCTACTTTTTTTGGGTGGGTACTTGCTTGCTTCTTAATGATAGAGTAATGATAAGTCAACATAATTTTTATGTTGAATTTTTATACAGTATACTCTGATTTATTGTGACCCAACTTCAAACAAAAATAATTACACTTGAGCTAATAGATTAAAAAATATCACTATCATATTATTTTAATATTTTTTTTTATATAAATAATGTTAATATAACAATTTTTTTCATAAAATATGTGCAGTAGAAAGATGGAACATGTTAGGCTATGAATATCACAACCTTTCTTAATCTTATCTCTCACACCCCCTTTTCTATGCGTCAATTATCACAATTAATTCTCTCTTTTGCGGAAGTCTTATGATTATCCATTTTTTGGCTTTTCCATTTTGTTGGTTATTTGTTTATGACACCAAGGAACTTTTTTTTTTTTTATAATAATAAAAAAAAGACATTATTATTCGAAAAACTGTATGCTTAGTTGTAAGATTCAAATCTAAATATCATGCTTAGTTGTTTAAGGTAGAAGAGTAATTACATTAACAAAACAATCAAACTTGCCAAAATATACATTTTGTGTGCCGTTTTAGGCCATGGATTTGGTTGTTTGGAGATAATATTACTGAAGATATGAAAACTACACTACATAGACTAATTCAAATTATGTGAATTGACAAATAAATTAATTACAATTTAGTGGTTTTTTACATTTGTTTTTTCTTTTTATTTTGGTCATGTACATTTTAATTTTTAGGTTCTCAGACTGCAACTCGTGCATTAATTTGATCCTCTCATTAGCCTATTGTTTAAAATTTTGAGTGAATACTATAATATGAGAGATTAAAATGAAATTTGAAAATAAAAGGGATAATATGTCATAATTTATTTATTTTTCCTTCGGTGTTTCTAAAGCGTGCTTACATTTTAACCAAAATTTTTACAATAACAAAAGGATCGCATTACAATATAAAAGTTTTTATTGTTGCAATTTAAAAAATAAGAACAAAAATGAAATTTTAATATAAATTAAAAAAAATAAAAAACAGAAAAGAAAAGAAAAAAAATGGGGGGTTTCGAGCAACATGTACTAGGAACTTGGACTAATTTGGTCTGGATTTTGGCCACTTGTGAACTGGTGGACCACACAACAGATATAATGTCAAAAAATGAAGGTCCTTTTCATGGACCAACCCTGGAATATATTCCTATTATCTCATATCATTCTCACTTGGATTTTGTTCTTTTCTTTCTTTTATAGAAGATTAAAAAAAAAAATTGATTAATCACCTGCTGTAAGACATTTTTATTCTTACACACATCTATAACATTTTATGCAAGCCACCTTTCACAAATCCTGCCAATGGATTTCATGCTATTAAGGTTCAGAAATTGATCATTCTATTTGAGAAACCGTGAACCAACACAAGACAGAAAATCTTGTTAGGCCAAAAAAAAACACACTTCAGGATTCAAAAATTAATTGGACAGGAGCAAAGAAACAACAAATGATCCAGCCATAAGAGAGAGGCATAACCCCAAGATGACAGGAAGCAATTCCATGACAAAATAACTTTCCATTTGCATATGCTAAGTTCAAGCAAATCGGAAAATTAAAACGCATGCACTCCAGCTCTCCACCCCTAATAAGCAAGATCAACTTTGGGTAGTGGCATATTTCACATACAGCAAGTTCAAACTTTAATATGGAAATAAATAATAAGAACAAAGACTACACAAAAGGAGAGACAATGTAAGACATGAAGCAAGACTCAAATAGTGGATGCGTGATATATGGTTTAAGATTAGCACCTGCATGTTGGTCAGATTCTGTAGAATCTGACTCACACATCTAGCATAATTAGCACAGGATGCTCCTTTAGGAGTAGGAAGAAGACAAGCCTGCAGGAGAAATGCAAATAGTGAAAACAATAAGCTTCTTATGCAACAATTGGAAGACCTGCAGTGCAAGAACACAAAATAAAACACGGCATTTTTATCATACAAATTAAAATCATCATATAAGAATTACCTTAAGCTTTTGAATCCTTAACATGGTCTCTTTAAAAGTAGGTCTATTCATTTCTCTCTCAATCTAACATCTAAGTTCTATAGAAGTTTCATACCATCTCATTTACATGATGATTTCTATTTATATAAATTTTCCACTGTCTGTGCAAAAGATTTTCTATTCAATATCAAACTTTCAAGTTTAACCCTTCTCTTGCTCTTCAAGATGTCGAACATGGTCAACATATTCTCGTCAGTATCTGTCCTCTTTTCTTCTGCCCTCTTTACTTCAGTTTGCATAGGTCCAAGCCTTGAGCGAAATAGGGAAAACAGAAAGTGTTAACAAAACAAAAAGTCGCTTACAAATAAAGATGATGAGATGAGGAAGCAAAACGTCCCTTAATTATTGCTGCCTTTTTTTAGATTAGAGAGGGGTGACAACACTCACATGGTGCAACACCCTCGGAAATTCTTGAAAATGGATGAAACAGCAAAGCCAATTTCTTTCCAGAGGATAGAGTTCTTGTGGGCAGCTTCAAAGTCCGAGGTTCCTTTTCTTCCTTGTACTTTTGTGAAGTCTCTCAGCAAACATGATATGAAATCCGATGGGGTAACACCTCCTCCGATATGTGATTTAACAGAGGTCAACAAAGTCCTAGAAAGATTCATTAGAGCCTCTCCATCTGCAACAAGCTATGGTCTAATGCCAAACATGATATTCTACTTGATGGAAAGCTACCCCATGGAAGCAGCCACTGCTAATTTTCCCTACTCTATGAAAGATATCACAAAATATGCTTTTATATACATATCATGATGAATGGGCTACTTGAATTTAGAGCTCAAAACTCAAAAGAATCATTTTCTAGTTTCACTCATCCAGAACTCTAATGTTACAGAAATACATAACCTAGCACTTCCACACAGATAAAGAGGAAGACAGAAGAAGAAAAATGTAATAGGTCACAACACTGTATTTGGAACAAAAACCAACTCTTTGGTAGGTGTATTGGTACTTTACCTGCATACTTATGATCCATTTCATGCAGTTGGCACCGTAGTTTCCACATCTTGCACCCTTTATAAGTAATTAGACGGTAGAGTTAGCATGAAACTTTGAAGCAAAGTATCAATTTAAACCAATGAAGAATTAGTTGGAATGAAATTGCGCCATGGTATGGCGAAGCTCAAATTTAGCCTCAATTACAAGAGCTAACATCTATAATTGCTTGCACTAGCTAATGTAACTTCTGAATTGCGACAAAGCAAAATAAACTTACTTGATTGATACCACAACTACGGATGGAATCTCCAACCTTCAATACTATTTCATATAACTACTTCATAAGTTAACCACACATATTTACCAGCCTGTAGAGAATTGGAAAACTAAAATTACATTCACATAAGCATATGTATACATACAACACAAAAAGAAGAGAAACATGAGTGAAACAATAGCAGAGGATTATAGGACAATGCACCTTCCCATTAACAATCTCACGCTCACCGAGCATTCAATTTTTAGGAAATTTCTCAACAGACACACTGCAACAAGGTTACAAATACATTAATCTTGGCAATAATGATCAAGAACAAATGTCCTGGCCATTAAATGGTGTCTAAGAATCCTACAGAGCAATATAATATATATGTATCCCGAGTCCATTTGGGAGCCTGTAACAAACACTGCAGGTTACTTTGTTTAGAGTGTTTTGATAAAGTTTTTGCATACTACACAAACATAGCTTCAACAAGCTGAAAAAAATATGATTATTCAGAAGTATGTGGGAGGGATACTTTTAACTTCTACTTTCTGATTATCAGTTTTCAGCACAAAGAAGCTGCAACAAACAGGGCCTGATATCACTCACGGTATTAAAGCATTTGGTCAGAATGAAAGGAAACAAGTGTACTACTCAGATAATAAACAGGTTGGTAATTGAATCAGTCCATTTGATTTACATTGAATTTTAACTAACAAAAAAAAGGAGAGTGATATTCTAAGCATAAAAAAAAATTTAGTCATCCAGGGCCCTTATTCTAGAATACCGTTGGGGCAACAATTATGTGCATATTCACTTAAATGCAATTAGGAGGAGAATGGACAAATTCACTGTTATGTAACCAGGAAGAGAATATACATATTCAACTACAATTAAAAGAATAAACGCCACATCAATCCTAATGAAACGGGCAAAAGTTGGGAAGTTAAAGATGCATTCTGACCTTAAGCAGCTTGTGAACGAATTGAATAGCATCACTTGGTCCAAAAACCTGACAGTTGTTAACAACATCAACTTTATAATAGAACTCGGAAAGTGTGTTGACAAAATAGTTTTAAAATGAAGGCAAAAAAGATAGTGGACAGATGATATACCCCCCACAGGCCATCACAGCCAAGAATGATGAAGTGGTCTCACTCTGTAAGCTTCGACGGAGCTTCGAAATCGGTTCGATCTGGAGCTTCGATGGAGCTTCGAAATTGGTTCGATGGAGCTTCGAATATCTAAATCTTCGATGGAAATCACTGAATCTTCAACGGAGCTTCGAAATCGGTTGGATCTGGAGCTTCGATGGAGCTTCGAATATCTGAATCTTCGCTGGAAATCACTGAATCTTTAACGGAGCTTCGAAATAGGTTGGATCTGGAGCTTCGATGGAGCTTCGAAATTGCTTCGATGGAGCTTCGAATATCTGAATCTTCGATGGAAATCACTGAATCTTCAATGGAGCTTCGAAATCGGTTGGATCTGGAGTTTCGATGGAGCTTCGAATATCTGAATCTTCGCTAGAAATCACTGAATCTTCAACGGAGCTTTGAAATCGGTTCGATCTAGAGCTTCGATGTAGCTTCAAAATTGCTTCGATGGAGCTTAGAGAGGGTTGAGAGAGAGAGAGAGAGGGGGGGGGGGCTCAGATAAAATGATGTATGCGTATGGGTTGAGAGAGGGCCAGATACAAAATAAGGATTGAGAAGGGGCGTGCGGTACACCGCATTCGGAGGCGTTTTTCAACGCCTCCTATTATAAAACGGCACCGTTTTGGTTAAAAGAATATGCGGCGTTTATAAACGCCGTTAAATGTTAATAACAGTGATGTTTAAAAAAACGTCGTTAAAAAAACGCCACCGTAACCCTTTTTCCCTGTAGTGATGAGAGGAAAAAAAAAAGTTGTTACTTTTACAAGCCTGTTGCCAACTCTGCTAATACTACTGAAAAGACAATATAGTTGTTTGTAAGACGTAGGCTATATTTTGTATTTCCTACTTAAATTTACCTGGGGTTTCATATTATTAGGCTTGAATAATTTTTCTTGCCAGAATTGGAGTTTCTTATTATGATTCAAGTGTTCGCCAACTCTATGTGCTGGAAGTTTGGGAAGATGGTAGTGTGGATTTTCCTCTAATTGATATGGGTATGAGTTTTTGTCTCTTTGTTATTTCATATGGTGTTTCCAATTTGGCGTTGTGTTTTTTAAGACCTGAAGTGGAGGACTCTGGTTTGGTTTCATAGAGTTAAATTACTTTCTTTTTCCCTTTCCTACATATCATATTTTCACAGCCATTTCTTTGGGATCATTTAGTTCTTTCTGCATATTTATTTTCATGTATCTTATTCAATACATGTGACTTGATCTGGTTCAGTAAAATTTCAAGCCAAGCCCCTGATCATTTACACAAGCACTAAAAGTGAGGAGTCCTTTTTGACCGCTTTACAGCGAAATGGTATGCTGCTTGTATCTGGTTGACTTATTCAACTATCAGCTTGTTGGGGGATTGTTTACTCTCTGAAGTGATGCAGATGGAACATGTGAGGCTTCTCTGAAGCTTGTGAAAAGTTCAATATTTAGCTATGAGCAAGCATGGCACAGGTATGGAATTGTAAGCAAAATGTTGTACCCACCTTTTCTTTTCTGTTATTATGTTTAGGCTTTGTGTAAGTTGAATGCGTCTTAGAGTTTCATCGAATATCTAAACAAAGTTTTATTTGACTGTTTTATTTAAGGTTATGATCACATAATGTTGGTGATAATTACAAATAAAACACCAGAAAATACAAATAATAAAAGTTACAATAAAGGGCTGAGGCGCGGGAAATTCGCTCTCTTTAAGGAGATTCAAGCCCTCTGCGGTTAGGCAAAGTCTCACACCGGTGCAGCAGAAAAAACCTTGACTTGTCCCCTCCAGGATACAACAGCCTGACTAAGTCGTATAGTTCACCAATACTGCACAATTGGTTGAACCCAAAGCTTTATCACATACACCATTTTTTATTTGCCTGATAATCTCACACAAAACATAATAAAAGCAACCAAAACTTCTTCTCATATCTGCCAAGATAGGAAATTAGCTCAATATATATAGAAGATAAGGCTTGGAAGGTTTTTCTTGGTGATTAAGAAAAGGATAAAGACTTGGAGAAGACTTGACGAGGATAAGTCTTGGCGAAGACTTGGAGAAGACTTGAAAGGATAAGAATGGGGAGACTAAGACCAAGACTTGGCAAAGACTTGACAAGGACTTGGAAGGCTTAACTTGGAAGAAAATAAAAGAAAACCAACCTATAATACATTATAATATTAAAATACCTACTAACATTCCCCCACCTATTTTAATATTATAGGTAACCAAAACTGAGATTATTAGGGAAATAAAGATATTATGCATCATGGTAGGTGTGCTCTACATTAAACCTCCATTAGTGAAACAATATCTTTACTCCAGAGCCAATAGTATGCTCAGCATTGAACTATGACTACTTAAGGGAAATAAATAATTATTGCACACACATAATATTCCAGGTGTTCACAAAAGCTTTAAAAGCTAGCACATTACGGCCTTGTGCGATCCCAGGATTCATTAGTGTGTTTAAGAATTAGCCCAAATCTCATAGGTAGCGGCCCCACTACCACACTCACATAGGTGAATTCTGTCAAGGGTGCTCCTGTAACTATGACACCTCACTCAATAAGAGCTACAGAAATTCATTAAGAGTTATTTAATAACTCAACATCTACAACGTTACAGGATAAATGCACTTACATCATAGGGATGGGTAAAAAGTAATGTAGTGCATTTCTCACGGCCATCACATGATCGTTTTTCTCATTAAACCCAGTTACGGGATCTCTAGTCCCTGGGTTGAGTATCCTCATACATGGCTCCTGCTATATTCAATGGGCTTCAACCCTATCCCCCTCGATGTATTCCAGACTCTATCTCTTGCTAAGGCCTTAGTTAATGGATCTGCAAGATTATCACCAGATTTAATATAATCCACATTTATGATGCCATTATTCATATAAAATCACACAGTATTGTGTTTTCTTCTAATAGGTCTGGATTTACCGTTATAATAACGGTTATTAACTCGACCAATTGTTGCGGTGCTATTACAATGAATCAATATAGGTGGAATCGGTTTTTCCCAACAAGAGATTTCATTTAACAAATCTCTTAACCAATTTGCTTCTTCACTGGCTGTAGCTAAAGCAATAAGCTCAGCCTCCATTGTTGAATTAGCAATAATGGTTTGTTTTTTAGATTTCCAACTTATAGCACCACCTCCCAATGTAAATAAGTAACCAATAGTTGATAATGAATCACCTGACAAGGTATTCCAATCGGCATCACTGTAACCTTCAAGTACTGCAGGATACTTATTATAAAACAAACCATATTTTATGGTACCAGATAAATATTTCATAATCCGCTCAATGGCTAGCCAGTGATCACTGTCAGGCTTGCTAGTAAACCTGCTAAGTACTCCAACTGCATAGGCAATGTCAGGTCTAGTACAGTCAGTCGCATAGCGCAAGTACCAATCATACTAGCATATTCCTTTTGATTAATTACATTCTTATTATTTTCAATAGGAAATAAACGCACATGAGGATCAAAAGGAATAAGAACATGCTTGCAGTTATAAAAATTATATTTTCTCAAAATTTTCTCAACATAATGCGACTGATCAAGAAATATACCATCACAGGTTTTGGTAATTTTCATTCCCAAAATATAATTAGCCTCACCAAGATCTTTCATATCAAAATTGCTACTAAGCATATTTTTAGTTTCCACGATGATATGCAAATTAGAGCCAAATATAAGTAAATCATCCACATAGAGGCTAATAATGACATGTGAATTCTCTTCAGATTTATAGTAGATGCATTTATCACATTCATTCGTTTTATAGCCATTCTCAATCATGCAGGAATCAAATTTCTCATGCCACTGTTTAGGGGCCTGTTTTAAGCCATATAGGGATTTAACTAGCTTGCACACTTTGCTTTCTTGACCGGGTTCCACAAAACCCTCAGGTTGATCCATATAGATTTTTTTACCCAGGTCTCCATTTAAAAAGGCTATTTTAACATCCATTTGATGAATTTTTAGATCATGAATTGCAGCCATTGCAATTAATAATCTAATGGATGTAACTCTAGTAACCGGAGAAAATGTATCAAAGAAGTCAAGATCTGCTTGTTATTTAAAACCTTTTGCAACAAGCCTTGCTTTATATTTATCAATAGTTCCATCTGGTTTAAGTTTTTTTTCTCAAAACCCATTTACAGCCAATAGTTTTAGAACCTGGTGGTAAATCTACTAATACCCAAGTTTTATTAGATAATAATGATTCCATCTCATCATTTACAGCCTCATTCCAAAAAACAGAGTCAGGAGATGCCAAAGCTTCTTGTAAAGTTATTGGAGTTTCCTCCACATTAAAAACATGATAATCAGGGCCAAAATCTTTTTCTAATCTGGCTCTTTTACTCCTTCTAGGTTCAAAAACTACAGTATCTTGGTTTTGTAAAAGGGAAGTAGAGGAACCGGTTTCAGATAAAATATTTTCTTGATAATTTTGACCCCCACCATTTTTAGATTTAAAAGAAAATTTTTCTTCATGAAAAATTGCATCACCTGATTCAAAAATTATTTTGTTTTCAATATCAAAAAATCTATAGGCTGTACTATTTGTTGCATATCCAAGAAAAGCACAAGTGGCAGCTTTCACACCTAATTTAGGTCTTTTAGGGTCCACAAGTCTAACAAAAGCTAGATAATCCCAAACCCTCAAATATCTCAAATTTGGCTTATGCCCTTTCCACAACTCAAAATGTGTAACTTTTGTTTTTTTATGTGGCACTCTATTCATGACATAACATGCAGTTAAAATTGCTTCTCCCCACAAATTTGAAGAAGCACCTGCTTCAATTAGCATAGCATTTGTTAAATCCATTAAAGTTCTATTTTTCCTTTCTGCTACACCATTCGATGCAGGTGAATAAGGTGTAGTAGTTTCATGGATTATTCCCAAAGACTGAGCAAACGAGTCGAATCCAAAAGATTCAAACTCCCGGCCTCTATCACTTCTATATCTTTTAATCTTTTTACCGAATTGATTTTCAACTTCAAGAAGGAATTCTTTAAATTTTTCAAAAGCATCACTTTTAGTTTTCAATAAGTATACATAAGTGTATTTTGAAAAATCATCAATAAAAGTGATAAAATATCTATTTCCACCACGTGTTAAAATTCCTTCAAATTCACATAAATCAGTGTGAATTAATTCTAACAATTTAGTATTTCTTACCACACTTTTATGAGGCCTTTTAGTTATTTTTGCTTAACTGCAAACTTCTCATTTCTCAAACTTATTTGTTAGTCTGGGAATTAATCATAAACTACTCATGACTCCTACATATTGGCTATTAATATGACACAGACGAGCATGCCAAAAATTCATAGAAGAGAGCATGTAAATAGAAACATGTGCTTTCTTATTTCCAACATTTAATTTAAACATTCCATCACAGACATACCCTTTTCCCACAAATATGCCTTTTTTAGTAATTACATATTGGTCAGATTCAACAGTCTGTTTGAAACCAGCTTTGTTAAGAAAATAACTTGACATCAAATTTTTCCTCATGGACGGTGTGCACAACACATCTTTTAAAACAAGCACACGTCCAGAGGTAAAATTTAGCTCAACATCCCCATACCTGAGCACCTTGGTTAAACTGGAGTCACCAAGCATAACAGTCCTCTCCTCATTAAAAGGAGTGAAATCTTTGAACCAATCTTTATCATAGCAGACATGCCTATTGGCATCATAGTCTGCCCACCACCCTTCCACAGATTGAACCATATAAATATCTGTAATCATAGCCACAAATGGTTCCTCGGTAACATTAGGCTGTGGTCGAGACTGTTGTTTTCGAAATTTGCAAGTTCGAGCAATATGCCCACTTTTGCCATACACAAAACATGTTACATTTGTCAGACCTTGTGAAGGGGGTTCTTGGTTCCATTTCTTTTGTCTCAGGTAATTTTTATTTTGTGGTCTTCCAGTATTTTTCCAGATTTTCTTAACTGGTTTCAAGTGACTATTTTTATGAAATCAACCTTTAGGTAAAATATTTCCAGAAGTTAAATTTACCTTTGCACTGGAATGCTCTTGTGTCATAAGCGCATCTTGTCCTCGTGCTTCCTCCTCCACCCGAATCCGTGTGATTAGAGTCTCCAAGAACGTCTCTTTTTGCTTGTGACGCATTGACTTCTGGAACTCCCTTCAAGACGATGGTAGTTTGTCAACAATACTTGCTACAACAAGATTGTCTCCAATTTTGATGCCTTCAGATCTAACTTCAGCTACTAACATCTGAAAATCTTGAACTTGCTCTACCACTGATTTTCCATCTATCATCTGATAGCGGAAAAAACGGCTTGCAGCATATTTTTTAGCGCCTGCCTCTTCAGTGTCATATTTATTCTGCAAGGCTTTCCAAATTTTCTTGGCAGTGGTGTAAGTAGTATCATAATAATCATAAAATTGATCCGAAAGACAATTCAAAAGATAATATCGACATTTATACTCATCTGTGTTGTATTTCTCGATTTTTTCAAGATGAGCAGCATACTCCTCATCGGTCATCTCTTCAGTGGGGACTTTGTTCGGATTTTTCTCGGTCAGGAGGCCACCTTGAGGAGACTGAGGTAGAAAAGCACCTTGCCTTTCTATCTCTTGAAATGGGCTCCCTTGAACCGGAAGGGCTTGTTGAGATCGCCGGTATTCTCGTTGGGCTTCTCCAGTACTGGCTCCATGAACTTTTGCTAATTGAGTCTCCTTAAAATTGTTGGTGATAATTACAAATAAAACACTAGAAAATACAAATAATAAAGTTACAATAAAGGGCTGAGACGCGGGAAATTCGCTTTCTTTAAGGAGATTCAAGCCTTCTACGGTTAGGCAAAGCCTCACACCGGTGCAGCAGAAAAAACCTTGACTTGTCCCCTCCAGGATACAACAGCCCGACTAAGTCGTATAGTTCACTAATACTGCACAATTGGTTGAACCCAAAGCTTTATCACATACACTATTTTTTATTTGCCTGATAATCTCACACAAAATATAATAAAAGCAACCAAAACTTCTTCTCGTATCTACCAAGATAGGAAATTAGCTCAATATATATAGAAGATAAGGCTTGGAAGGTTTTTTTTGGTGATAAAGAAAAGGATAAAGACTTGGAGAAGACTTGACGAGGATAAGTCTTGGCGAAGACTTGGAGAAGACTTGAAAGGATAAGAATGGGGAGACTAAGACCAAGACTTGACAAGGACTATAGCGACCCCGGTCTTTTCCCATTTGATTATGGTATCCGGACTTAGGTTCCGTAGATTCTGTCATTGTATAATTGTTGTTGTTGTCCCTTATTTTCTCATTTGGAATTATAGGATGTGTTGGGCAGGTTTGTTTCAGGTTGGTTGGGTTTAGAAATCCAGTGTTGCTGCCCAGAATTTTGACTCTTCGCTCGAGCGAGAAGTTCTTCGCTCGAGCGATCTCTTTGTTTTGGTCCTTCGCTCGAGCCAGGATAGCTTCGATCGAGCGAGGGTTGCGTTTTGAGTTAGACCTGAGAGCTGAGGTTTTTGGCTCGAGCGAGCTTTTCTTCGCTCGAGCGAGTTAGTTCGTTCTTCGCTCGAGCGATAGTTCCTTAGCTCAAGCGTGTGTCTGATTGCAGACCTGTGGGTTTGAGTTCTTCGCTCGATCGAGTCTTCTTTCGCTCGAGCGAGCTTTTGTGTTGTTGGCTCGAGCAAGGCTCCCTTGGCTCGAGCGTAGATTTTCTGTGTCTGGTCGCTCGAGCGACCAAGTATTCGCTCGGAGCGAGCCTGTCAGGTTTAAATAGGCAGCAGCGTGTTTCAGATCTGTTTTTCTTGCACTTTCATATTCCAAACCTAGTTTCGAGTTCTCTCTCCCTCTACACACCTTCTCTCTTAGGATTGATCTACTTAGGGTGTGTTTCTACCCTAGATCCTTCATTAAAAAGATAGAGTGAGTCGAGGGCTTCCATTTAATCTGAACATTTGGCGATTTGGAGCACTTTGGTTTTTGGGCACTCATCTCTGTCTTCACCATTTGGGTTGTTTTCTTTGAGGTAGGGATTTCCTACTCCATTTTATAGGTTTTGTTCTAAGTTTTGGTATTTTGATATGTTGGGGATACTTTGGTAAATTTTGGGAAAAACCCTAGTTGTATTATTGAATTAATTTGTATAAGTAATTCATGAAATTGGGAAAAGAGGGTTAAATTCACGGAATTGGGGAATTTATTGATTAAATGGTGTAGTTGGATAATTTAAATCACTCGCCTATTGAATTGTTGATATATTTATTTCCAAGTTTAGAAATAACTGTTTTGGGCTATCGGTGGAGGATAGTCGTGATTGTTGTAGACAATGCATGTGGATTAGGTATAACTGAAACTAATCACATTAGTTGAGTCATTAATTTTGACTGTTGAATTAATGCAGACATTATGTGTATTGATTGTGTGATGTATATGTTATGTGTTTACATACTTTGTTTTGTGTGGGAGGAGATAGGGGATGTACTCCACGGTTTAGGGGAAGATCTCTAAACAGGATTTTGTTTGGGAGGAGATAGGGGATGGACTCCATTAGCATCACTGTTATGTGTGCTTATCTATATTGAAGTGTTTTAATGATACAGTACTAAAATGTGTATCAAACTGGAAGTATGAAGTGTTTTGATTTGAGCTTGAGTCTCATTTATTTGTTGATATTGGAGGAATGTGAATATGATATATATATATAATTCACTGTGGTAAGTTTGGCCAGGTTCTGAGCCATGATGATAATTCACTGTTGTAAGTTTGGCCAGGTTCTGAGCCATGTTGATAAAATTGGAAAGTAAAACATGTGTTAGACAATAGTGTCATGAGACTGTAAAATGGAGTAATTGATTATCTTGGTTAACCATCTGTTGAATGCTATTGCTTTATTCATTGCTTATATGTGGTTTAGTATTTTTCTACTGGGCTGTGGCTCACCCTATATGGGAACATCATTTTCAGGTTCAGGTGATAAGCTGCCTCCAAGGACTTAGCTTGGAAGGGATTTGGATTTCGAAGACTATCTTTAGTTCATTGTCTTTATTTATTAGTACATGTAAACATCCAAGCCTAGGGCTTTTCTTGTATTGAGTTAGAACTCATCTTTTTGTATCCAAGTGTTGGCTTGGAAAGATGTAAGCCTGTAGGGCATTTTATTCGATGTTACATGTAATGCTTTTATTTAGTAATACTCTGATGAATGAATTAATGAATTGTTTCCTTTAAATAGTGCATGTCAATGACATATATATAATGGGTTTATTTTGAGGGCGTTACAACGACTTGGAAGGCTTAACTTGAAAGAAAAGAAAAGAAAAGAAAACCAACCTATAATACATTATAATATTAAAATACCTGCTAACACATAATATTCTTAGCAGGCTTGACTGAGAGATCTAACATGTCACTTTCCCTAAACTATCAGCTATTTTTTCTACAGTTTCCATTTATACAAGATTCTTTACTTACTATCATGAAACTAGCTAGTTCTGGCAAGATTTCTGATAGACCAAGAACCAATTGCCCCTTCAAATCATAGATGGTGAAGGTCTGTCATAAAATTTTAGTGGATATGGGCATAGCATCTTTCTGCACATAGATTAAATCCATTGTGATGGGTTCATGGATCTATATAACATGAGTGTTTTGTTCAATGGAAGAGTTTAGGTTGGTTCTGTATTTTTTTCATGTTGCTTCAAAGCACCATATTAGTTTATGTCCATTCATGGTATTGTTGACACTGCATTGAGATGGTTAAATATGTCACACATGAAATCAATTTTGGTATATACACACCCAGATATTTATATAAGATGCTTTCTCCCCTATCTGTGTCCCCATCCCCAAAAATTCCCTTTCCTTTCTTATTATTTTGCTTTTTCTTAAATTGACAGATTGATATACCTTCGAGTAACAGGGATGGATGATGGGTTAAGCATCAAGGAGAGAATTTGTTTTGTACATTAAAAACTTGCGCATCTAACTTTTGTGTAATGATGCTATGTATTTCATAGAACTTTCAAAATTGTGTAGTTATGTTCAAATCATGATTGTGTGATAAAAAGGCTTGGTGTTATACTTTCTGTCTGCGATGCCTTTAGGAAACAAAATAACTCCACGCGTATGATAGAGCTATGCTCATAGTGAGAACAGTTGTAAGAGAAATCATCATGTGCTTTTACATGCATCATGCTTCAGATAGTGATACGTTATATGTCAATTGTGGCTCTATCTCTCACTCTCTTTGATGTTTAATTACATTGCTGGTGTTATAATCTATTTCAATTTCAGTTTGATAGTTAATGTAAGTCCATGGTTGTGGCTCACTGGACACGCTTTTCTTTTTTGAAATTTATTTACTGTGGCCTTCAAGTTCTCTTCTTTAGTCTTCACCCGACAAAATAATAACTAATTCAATAACATTAGATTCTTGTTCTTTATCCATGTTTCTCTCTTCACTTCCTTTATTTTTTTGGGGGTGTGACATTGACCCAAAATTTCTAGACGTGATAAGATAACCTTTAATGCAGTATAGATTTGTTTTCCCTGATACCTATTTAAAGTACCTTTTGCTTTGTCTACAACTGAGTTCTATGATGGACATCAGAAGTGATGTCCAAGTTCATGTGAGTGGAGGGCTTCTGGCCATATTGGAGAATGAAAGGATCGTAGATACAATTGAACAAAAAGAATGTGGGAGTGCATCAATTACAATCGACTCTGTTACGAAGATTTCTCTGTATCTTCCTACATGTCTTTCATTCTAAAATCTCCAAGTTAAATAAGTCTATAAATTCAAGCCCTTTAATACATGTAAGACTTCACAAAAAAAATCTAGAAACAAGTTTCTTAAAGTTGATGCGGCTGCTCATGAGGCATTGCAAATATTTCAAATAGACAAACATCCAAGCCATATGGGCATTGGCAGAGCAAAAGAAGGGTAAATGCTTAAACAACTCTTGATGTTTTTGTTGATTACAAATGTTTGTTGATATTCTTGAATTGCAGGTTCTCTGTGTTTGGGATGATGAATAAGGTATGCAAAAGCCATTTGCTTTTCAATTCTGCAGTATCTTTTGGATTTGGAATAAATTAGTTGTGCTTATTTCATTGTGTAACGCCAATGGGTAGATGTCTCTTGAGGTAAATTCAAATTGAGAAATTTACTGTTCTACTACTTCTAACCATTTTAACCCAAGACCCCTAGATGATGGTTTACTTTGCACTAGGAGCTGGTTCCTGAGGCCTGTACTAGATCTTGATGACCTTAATAGTCGTCTTAATGTTGTATCCTTTCATCCCCTCAAGATTACTTTAATGTTATCAGGACTAAATGACTAGTTTGAAATCCTAGAACATGACATAGTTAACCTGAAAGCATTGTAAGATGAGGTTTGGCTGAAATCAAGCCCTGAGCATGAAATTTAGAAATCCACATTTCTAACTATTCCATGAAAGGTGATTACATAACTAAACATGAACTAAGAAATGGATTCCCCTGCATTTGAATTCTGTATCCTCAATCTACCTTGCCAAAAATTCATATACTTTAACAGAATGAAGATATCATTCTTCCTTTGTTTTGAAGAACTGTTGGCTTCTTTACGGGAAACCCTGAAGTCGGTCAAGGATATCCCCCACATACTCAAGGTGCACTAATATCTTATCTATGCTCTTTCTTCTATCTATATCCTACATTTGTATTATTTCCAAAATAAAGAATTTAAACTTTCTTTTTCAATTAGTAACTGCAGACATGAATTAGTGGCTGGAAACTCAGCAATTTTTCACACTTTCAATATATTAACTATTTCTATCTGATTTAAAGGTTTGCAAAAGTGCAAACCTTTAAATTAGTTTAATGACTTCACACAACCCCTTTTTTTGCTTTGCTGAAAAGAGTCATTTTTTAAATGGAGATTTTGCCTGAAATTTGTAGTTGTAGCACATTGCCACTAGTTATTTTGAACACTTCTTATTATTATGTGGTTCAAAATGATGGGCACAAAAAATTTTTTTATTATGTTTCTTTTATGAATCTTTATTTAATCAAATTCTAAAATTTATGAATCTTTTGCTTTTGCTTCTGGAAGAAATTCAACTCCCCAAGTTCTGCATGTACAACTGGCGATTGGACAGCTTTTCTGAAGGTAAAATTCCCACTTTCATGGTATTTGTTCCGTGTACAGTTGTTACAATAATCCATTTTACACTTTCTCTTATAGAGCATCTGTTCACTCCTACATGTGAACAAGATATTTGAAGTTGGCATTTCTGGAAGTCTTTGAGAGCAAATGAGATATTTGAATTTGGACATTGTTCAAAAGGTATGAAAACTATTAGTTCAACTAATTCTTTCTAAATTTGTGTGACATATACTCACAATCTCTTGTTCATGTGTTTAAATTTGTCACAGGCTGAATCATGCATTTCAACAGACTTGGCTTATGTATATGAATTGGTTAGTTTATCCATAGACCTTAATATTTCATTAGGCTACTTTGTATGTACTTTGCTAAGATTCCACAAAGTTCCGAGATCAGGAAGTTCTGTCCTTCAATCTAGGGTTAGCCAATGACTTCAATAAGATGCCTGAAAATGTATCCCGCTCTGCTCTACTGGCCACACACCTTCACGTGTGCTCAAAGTTCTGTTTGTGTCTATCTAAAGGACTTTTAGTCTAGTAACATTAGAACTCTTGCTTGAAACTAAGCTTTTGATATTTTATCCCTAATTATTTGTGAGAGCCTTATTCAAAGCTGTATGCTCGTTTAAAAGAAAAGGGGGGAAAAAAAAGCGCAAAAGAAAGGAAATTATTGTATTGGAGAAACTTGTAGATTGAGAACAATATATATATATATATATATATATTTTATTATTCTAGAACAAGGTCTGAAAATGACGAAATAAGGCTTGGTTGCCAGTGTAACCAATGACTATGTTGTTGATTTGGTTCAAATCTTTTCGTAACTTTCTTTAGTTCTGATGTAAACTAGTGGAGTGGCTAAGACAAACAAAAAGGGATGAATATTAGATGAAGCTAAATGATACATAAAGCCTTATATTTGTTATCTACATCTTGCCCTCCCTAGGCCCCACTTTAGCGGGGGCCTTGTGCACTGGGTCACCCTTTCTTATTTATTTTCTACATCTCTGTCACTTGTTTCAGCCTCCCAACCTCCCTTTCCTTTTTCTGCCAAGATGTTAAACCTAACATCCACACTCCACATCCTTTGCCCAAGTGGGAATCATTTAGTTGAAGCCATTGTTGCAGTTTTTTTTTTGCAATGCAAGAATTACAGGTGACCTTGCAAGTGCAATTGAAAAGGGCTTTCAATGTGAAGTATTGCATTTCTGTAATCATTGATTCATTGATTTTATTAATCTCTTTGTTTTTTTACTAGTTTCTTCTTTATTCATTTTTCTTCAATTGTCTACTTGCTTCTTTCTTTATTACGTTTTGAGTAATTTTCTTGTGTGTGTGCTTGTGTTGTGTTGTGTAGGTGATTGGTGTTATTGATGCAAGTAGAAGTAAAGACAAGGGTTATAGGACAATAGTGAAAGAAGGGTTCTGTGATGAGGTAATACATCCTTCCTATTGGTGATCTTATCTTATTTCATAAAATTAAAGCCTTTAGGCATTTTCTATAGTAATGTATTCTCTTATTTATTGCAATTATAAACCAAACCAAACCAAGCCTAGCCTTAAGTCCCATCAAATGGGGTAGGATTATATATTGCAATTATGAATTAGAAAATTTTAATTTGTTTACCTTGTGCCTTAGCCACCTACTTTATCCACTGCCTTCTTTATAAAATCTTCAAATAACAAGATTAGTAGTGAAATGATAGAGTTTGTTGTTATATAAAATTCATGAGTCATGATACAAGGTCCGTCGTATTCTTACTGCTAGTTTTCTTAATATCTGCAACTATTCCTCTTCCCCCCCCCCAACCCCACTTCTGACAAATCAGTCTACCATGTTGAATTGCAGTTGGATGAGTTGAGACAAATATATGAGGAATTGACAGAATTTTTGGAAGAGGTGCTTGTTTTTATTTTCTTTTCAGACCAAATTCAGAAATGAATTTGATATGGAGTTCACATATTTTGATAACACAATTGCTTTACAGGTGTCATCATTGGAACTTGCTAGGCTTCCTATTATGTCTGGAGACAAGTTTCTTCCTTGTATTGCTTACCTACATCAAATAGGTTGGTCTTCGTTTCAATACCAATTTTAAAAATTATTAGATATTGAATGAATGATCCCATCTTCATATGGATTGAAGATTTCTTGATGAGGAACAGGTTCGATCCATCCAACATTAGTTTCTTCTATTCTTTATTTTCTTTCATCCATTCACAGAGGTCTTCCAACTGTAAAAACTTGTGGCGCATGACCAAACAGGCAACATATAAGAGCAAAATAATAATAATAATAAAAACTATAGAAAGTAATCTTCTTTACATTAACTTGAAATTTTTAATTTAGATTTTATTATCCATCTTGAAATTGTCCTAGAATCACTAGACTACGATACACATGGACATGATAAATTACATGACATTTCCTTTTAAAAGATCATGAGAATCTCGCTTTAACAAGAGTTTTCTTGTAATATTCTTAATCCGAAGAACACTTTCTATGATTCTTTTCATTTTCATTTTCTTTTTTTAAAGTATGCCAATTGGGATTGCTATGTCGGTTATTGATTTTAAGCTCTAGTACATTGATTGATGCTATGGCTTTTTTGTTTAAATGTAGGTTACTTGATGTGTGTTTTCGAAGAAAAACTTGATGAAACCACACTAGAAAATCTTCAAGATTTTGAATTTGCTGTAAGTCAATCAATGACCTAAATTGGAATTAGTAGTTTATGCAATTAATTTGTATATTTTCATTCATACTAGAAAATGTGCCACCAAATGTAGTTCTCAGATGAAGATGGAGACATGAAAATTTTTTTCTATCGCACCTCGAAGACACAAGAATTGGACAACCTTCTTGGGGATATATATCACAAAATCCTAGGTCTGTAGTCTAATTCACTCTTCTGCCATGTGTTTTTATTCCAGATGACAATTTCTAAACTGCTTGGCCAAGAAGCACATACATTACTTAAAAAAAAGTGCCATGTTTGCATCTGACATCATATTGAACATTGACACTCATTGGACACCCCCAACATGTGTCCAAACGTGTCTTATTATTATTATTTTGTGGAACCAGACATGCTTTGGACACTTGAGGGAAACACGTGTTCATTGCTTAAATGCTTATAAAACACATTGCAAGTTTGAAAAAGTCAACTTTGGAACCTATGATTAAAATAAAAATAATGTGGATTTATACCAAATCATTGATAAACTTAATGTAGCCCCAACAGTGTACTTGTAAGTGATTCAATGATGCTTTTTAAAAAAAATTAAAAACAGATTAATGTCTTATCTTCCATTCCTTTTTGAAGACATGAAGAGGGCAATTACGAGGGACTTGGTGTCACAAATTCTTCTATTCTCAGCACATCTTCTCAAGGCTGTGAATTTTGCAGCTGAACTTGACCGGTAATTTAGTAACATCTATTTTATTTGCATTGCAATATCTTGTTAGGTTTTCATGTCTTCTTTTTTCTTTTTCTTTTTTTTATGACATATATTTCCTCACTATATTTTTTCACTTTTCATAAAAAAAAAAAAAAAGGAAAAGTAAAATTCCTCACTGTATTTTTTCATGTTGTCACCCAGCTTTTTATCACTGGCATTGGTTGCTCGTCAAAACAATTATGTGAGGCCAACTTTGACTATAGAAGACTTGCTTGATATGCAGAATGGAAGGTTAGGTTGTCTAGTATAGTCTACAATATGTCAATGATTTTATTTGCAAGGTCATATTATAATAGATTAGAGAAAAAATTGGGCATCCACCAAGGGAATCCTAACAAGTAGTTAATTCAGACATGTTTTCTAGGAAATGACTGTAGATACTTTCATTCCCAATGATACAAAGATTCAAGATGATGGTATTTGTAGTTAAACATCTCTAAGTATATTGGTTTCTTACTCCACTCATCAATAAAGTCTTTTCTCATTCAAATATACTAGTTATTCTTGTTAAACTCTTCAGGAAGGATTAATATCATCACTGGCCCTAATTATTTAGGGAAAAGTATCTACATAAAGCAGGTCAATAGTTATTATATTTCTCTTGATGGAACCAACATGCTCTCCTTCACTTTCTTTTTCTCTCTCTCTCCTTTGAATGATTCACCCACATTTATCAGTAGATATATGTCATATGTTTGAGTCTTCATGTAAGTGTCTAATTTGCAATCCTATAAGTTAGAATGTAAAATGAAGGAATTTAGGATTGGGATTTAGGAGGAGGAAGAAGAAGAAGAAGAAGAAGAAGAAGAAGAAAGAGAAATTTTATATATATTGAATAATCATTGTGCCTCAACTTTATATTAGTCAAATGTATATACAAACCCTAACATAGCAATATGACCATCGTACCCTCAACTTAAGTAAATATTAACAAGAGAACAAAAGAACAAAAATAAGTATTCTAACACTCCCCCTCAAGCTAGAGCACAGAGATCGAACATGGCCAGGTTGATGGATAAACGATGAAACGAAGGCCGAGCCAAAGACTTGGTTAGAATATCACTTAATTGATCGGCAGAACGAACATAAGGAGTCACAAGTTACTTGCGGAGTAAGAGATCACGAATAAAATGGCAATCAACTTCGATATGTTTGGTGCGTTCATGAAACACGGGATTATTGGCAATGAAGATAGCAGCTTGATTGTCACAAGACATGCTCATAGGAATGGGAACAGAAAAGCCAAAATCTTGGAGAAGAGACTGAACTCAAAGCATCTCAGAAGCAGTATGGGCTATGGCACGATACTTAGCCTCGACACTAGAACAAGAAACAACAGTCTGTTTCTTGCTACGCCAAGTAACAAGATGTAGACGTGCCCGAGGACTCCCGAGCTCCGCGCTGCGAAGGCGCGAAATTCGTTTGCTCTCTAGCTACTACAAGTTCGGACTCGTGTCACGGTTCTGAATCTAGTCTCACAATGTGCGATATGAGACCGATAAATCACCAAAGAGTTTAGATCCGGCAAATCGTTTTGGAAAACTGATTTTAATAAAGAAGTGCCAAACATGGACTGCTTTGCCAGATACAGAGTCGCCACCTAAATGTTTTATTTTGGAAAATTTAGGAAATCCTGACTCGTGCCTAAGACCACGTGTTCGTCATCACCAAAGTTGTCTCGGTTCGGGAACTTGGGTATGAGAGGGGAAGGTCATGCAATGAGCACCCCCGCTTGCCCGATCAAAGATCGGCCTTTACTAACATGATATCTTGTTTTTGAAAATACATGTGTTTTTATTCCGGTTATTAACCTAGAATTACTATGTGATGCGCACAATATATAAGTATAGAATAGATCGTCTAAGTTGGAACAAAACATTGCATGTTCGTTTGTTTGAAAATGGGTTTGAAGTTTGCTACTCACAAGTAGGCTAAATCATGGATTTCGATGAATTGTTCCAATTCAAGTAATCCAACATTCACCCACAGGCATTCAGACAGTTATATCAAATAAGCAGTTAGCCTCATGGCAAGCATGCTTTCATGGTAACATTAGCACACATGCAGTATGTTAAAGCGTAAACACTCACAATATACTCCGAGCCAAAACAAAGAATTAGTTAGAAATCATGCATGATCCTAGTTCATGTTAAGATTGTTAATGCAACACATGCGACATGCAATTAGAAATAGGCTCAGCTATTCTAAGATAGCATATGAAATGCAACTTGGTACATGTATTCAAGTAGGAATTGAAATACAATGTAGTTAGTATGATGCGCCGAGCCTGGTGCATGCAAAACAGATGAATGATGCACGCATGCAAAGCATAAGGATGCTAATCGAAATATGTCCTAAAACTAACCATCGTAAGCGGTTAAGTAAAAGGGAGAAAGAAATGGGGGTTGGAAGACATGCATCACACACACGCACGCTTATTACAACAATACGCCCTCTCGACGGAGGGACCGAATAAGAAGCTAACTAGTTAATCTAAGCTAATTAAACTAATTATTACAAAATGAATTGAAATAGCTACATGCATTAACTATTAAAGGTACAGAAGCTAAGTAAAGCAATAAAACAGGAGGTTCTCAGAGGGAGAAGACTTGATGCATGCTCGGTCGCTTTGTTCGGAAATCCATCGCGATGCCCCAAGTTGCCTCTGTTTGCAATTATTTTTAGAACCTTGCACAAAGCTCCAGAAAGCTTGAACTCCATCCAGGAGACCTCTAGGGATGCTGCCGACCAGTTACTGGGGAGGGAGGCCACCTGCCGACCACTTTTTGTGCTGAAAAACCAGAAAAAGTGGTCGGCCAGCTAGTAATACTGGTCGACCGACCAGTTGTTGCTGCTGAATTCCAGTTTGCTGCAACAGAGAGCAAGAAAGGGCATGGCAATGTGTTTGCAAGGTATGTGTGCACAACCACCTTCCCTATCATGTCATGAACTTAAGGGAGTGTGGTTCTCGACCCTCGGGCCACCAATCACGCATCTCGATGCATGATGGCCGAGAAGTCCAATTGTACAATTCAATATGAAATGAATACACGAGTAAACACATAAGGCCTAAAACTCTATCATGCTTGATCAAGAGCGTCAGCGACCGAGAATTGAGGCACGTTTCATCACTTCAAGTATGAAATGTTCCTCGTTCCTCGAGTTTGGACTAACACCTATTCCAAACAACAATGCAAGCAACAAGTAACATGCGAACAATGCTAATGCATGCATGCACAATGCAATGCAACAAGGGCAACTTAGCAATGTTAGGGACATGCATACTCAATGCAACGAAACAACTTGGCATACACAATGCAAATAACCACATGGCATACACAATGCAAAGTATGATGGCATACTCAATGCAATGAACAATAAGCATGCAAACAACATGTAAATAAACATGCTAAATGGACTTAAACTAAAATGGACAGACCTCAGCCATGCCCAAATCAGTGGTCATAATGCTAAAATGAAGGTACCGAAAACACATGCAAACATGCATGCCAATTAGCTCACCAATTAAGGCACTAAGGTGCAACTCTCAAGAGCACTTAAAGAGTGAAAATCATGGAAGTGTAATAACACTAAGTGCACTGAGATTAAGCAAGAAATGATGCCAAATCATTCAAACAACACAAGTTTGGCATGGCAGGGTCCTTAAAGCATGAAGCTATTAAAGAGGACTACAAAGGGGGGCATACAATACAAGGCACAAATGCATGAACTAAGCATGGACAGAGTTCAAATAGGTCTTAACAAAGACCAAAATATGCTGAGATGAAGACTCAAAGGCCTAGGCATGCAAGCATACACACTAAGCCATAAACTAGGCAACAATGCATAACACTTAAAGGCACTTAAAGCATGAATGAAGTGGGAATATGGCAATGGCACATGCTCTGAAATCAAGTATTAAATGATGCCAAATCATCCAAATAGCTCAAAGATAACATGCATGAGGCATCAAAACACAAAGCTAGAAAGGCCAATTGCACTACAGCTATACAAAGCAAGAAACATATGGTCGAGGCAACCCAAAATGGTCTTAGAGCATGTCAAAATGAGTTTAAAACATGTATGGAAGGAAGCCAAAATAAGCTAGCATGGAAAGCATGAGGCATGATGCATACAAGGCAAATAAGGTGGATTACATTACACCTATTAAGACCAAGCGTGGGATGACTCAACTAATAAAAATCAGAGTTATGTCATGGCAAAATAACCCCAAAAATACATTGAAATGATAGCTCGCAAGCTTAGGCATGAAGGCATACACAACGACCCATGTTAAGGCATAAAGGACCAACCATCCAACGCATTGAATAAGTGACAAATGTAAGTGTATGACCACACTACATGGACTGAAATAACATAACGAAAGATGCCAAAACATTGAAATAGACCAAGTAATGCATGCTAGTGAACTTGATACACAAAGCTAACAAGCTAGAATGCATTATAGCTATACAAAGCATGGCATGCATGACCAAGACAACATAAATCAGACCTTAAACATGCTAAAACATGAACAAAGTCTTCTTGAAGTTAAGCCAAAAGCATGCTAAAATGACATGTTAAAGCATGAGACACATTAGGCTACTTCATGGAAATGCACTACAAGTGCATGGAGCATGCATAGGGCTATTAAACCAAACCTTGACAGAGGTATATCATGGTAAAACAACACCAAGAACATATTGAAATGGATTCAAAATAAGCTAGAATGACATGCTACTTCATGAAGCATACAAGACTAGTTTGTAAGATTTACACTACAAGTGTATTATGCATGCAAGGGATGATCAAGACAACCAAAAATAGTGGCATGCCATCTCAAAATAACCCCAAATACATGCTAAGAATAAGCCAACACAAGCTTAATAAACATGCTCAAACATGAGGCATATATGGCAAGTATACAAGACACAAGGAGAGGGGATGACCCTCTCCTATTTGGGACTCCAAAACCACCTTTCCAGTGGTAGAAAGGTCATGCAAAGGCTACAACAAAAGCCAAAAGGGATGGCTCAAAATAAGGCCTAACAAGGCCTAAGAGGGGATAGATCACCCCCAACGAAAAAGTGACCTTAAACAAACATTTTAAGCATGCAAAAACAGAACTTTTTCCAGTAGAAAGTTAAGCTTAAATCAACATGCAAGTAGGGCTAAAAGCTTAAGCAAAAATGGGGGATTTAAAGGTTAGAAACTCACCCTTGAAGACCTCCTTCAAAGCTGCAACTCCAGCAGCTTCTTTGAGCTCAAACCAGTCTCAGAACTCCAAAAACAACTTCAAGGGACCTCAGCTCCAAGAGTATGGTGTTTGAGTGTGTGTTTGTGTACAAAAGTGAGACAAAATGACACTTTAAGGCACAAAACAAGAGCAAAAGAGAGATATAGATACAAATGTGTATGTATAACTCAAACCACCAATTTCTGAACCTAAAGGAGAGAGGAGGGGGTTCTCTCTTATAGAGAACCAAAAGCAAAGCTTCTTGAAGAAGCTAAGGTTCAAGGCCATCCCTCT